TTTAAAAAATAGGAATGGAAGTGGGAGTGAAAATATAAAAAAGTTGTAATGAAAATAAAAAAGTGGAAGATGAAATTGGAGTGAAAATTGGAACAAGTGGAAGTGAAAGTGGGAATGAGAATTAGAAAAAGTGGTAGTGGCAATGAATATAAAAAACTGGAAGTGTAAATAGGAATGGGAATGAAAATTAGAAAAAGTGGAAGTGGCAATGAATATAAAAAAGTGGAAGTGAAAATGAGAATGAAAATTGGAACAAGTGGAAGTGAAAGTAGTAATAGGAAAGTAGTGGCAAAGTTTCCGTGAAAATATATTTTAGAAACTCTTAATTTTTTTATAGGTATTACTAACGTTAGTAACATTAGTAACGTTAGTAACGTTAATTTTTTCACCTGGGATATTATATTTTTTATGAAAAATTTATTTTATATATTCAAACTAATATAAAAATCGAAGAGCAATTTATATATCTACTTAAATTATATTGAATTTTCGAAAATAGAATAAAAAATTGGAAAAGTTAACGACATAATTTATATAGCATCAGAATTAAGGAAGTATATATAGAATTAAAGTCCATTTACACATAATAAATTTGAAGCAACTTTAGTATATAATTGAAAAGCAATTTCCTTTTCGATAAGAATAAATTTCAATATACATAATATATGGAGAATTGGAATGAACATATATACAATTTGTTGTGACAATATTATTGATCTTATTCAAACATTTTCGTCTTCTATTTTAAAGTCAAAACTTCTAAACGACATCACAGAGAGTGGCTTAAAGTCTATACTATATCTATTAACAAGTCAGTATAGCAATGAATTCAATTGCACAAGGAACTATTCAAACGATGAAACAATTGGAATGTAATTGCGTTCGTATTCAGTACCAATTCATTTTGTGGCTCACTTCTCTCTGTTTTATTGTCTTTAGAAAATCTTTGTTAAACTTTTAAACTTTTCATGCTAATGAGAAAAAAAACAAAATTTATATTTAGAAGATTTATTTTCACCAGTATATTTTTTTAATTAATGAAATTTTTCTAAATTTTTATATATAAAAAAATTATTAATAATGTTTCAAATAGAAAATAATGTATAAAAATATCATAAATAACAAAAGTTTGTTAAATTTAATGCTTCTTTTTTTTTCTCTTGCCCTAAGCCATTCGTTCACGAAAAGTTTTACAGCCGTAATTGTGGATTTACATTCGAGACATATTTCCCCTGTATGATTAACGAGAGTCGCTCTCCCTCGAGAAGTAAAACTCCAAAAACTAAGATTATATAAAAGGAATTATTTAAATGCATTTAAACTCTTAAACGCATATTTATGTAATGAGATGCCTCCAGGGCTTTCAAAAATGGAAAAGGTGCTCTAAAACTTCAAACTTCTTTGGAATTAGATTCCAAATCCCTGTTTAAATCCTATTGATACAGAATATCTACGATTAATAAGTTTTCAAAATAAAAAAAAAAAATTTCTTTTTTTTTTAATGAAAAAAGCATCATGTCAATTTGATATCTAATTAATTGAGAATTTCTAATCTAGTTATATGAAGTTAAAACCCTTTATTTTATCTCATATATATATAAGCTATATATGGATATCTGAAACTTGATACTTGAAGAGTAGTAAATTGTTTGAGATGTTTTGAACAGCACGTGCGAGTAACAGGGAGGGCAATGGGCCAATTTAGCACAAGGGAAACTTGTATAAAGACGTCAGATCACGATTCAGAGCGTATACAGCCATCCTGCCTTCGCTTGATTAATGAACGAAAACTTTCAATCGATTCGATTAAACCATACTAAACAAACGAGGGGGTTACCGATAAATATGTGATAGTGATAGCAACTATGTATAAATGTCGATCCCAACACACAATTCATTAATCATATTTAAAATATTCTCAAATCGTTTATTTCTCTATTGTACAAAGAAACTAAAAAATTTTCGAAAAAATAAATTAATTAAAATCCTAATAATAATAATATGAATTCAAATATATAAATAAAAATACTAATACAGAACAAAAATTTGATTTCAAAGTTTTACGTATATACATTTCGTAAAAGTTATTATATGAAATAAGTTTTGCGAGCGCAAATAATATATTTAAAAAAAAATTTCTTAAACTGATATCAAAAAATTGACTCTATAAAATTCCCATGTGTAACTACGACATGAATTTTTCATGAAATATAATACCTTTTTTTTTTGTTAAAGAAGTATATATAGAAAATTTCACACATAAACTCAATCAGAACTTTTGACAATATGTAAACTAAATCATAAAAGTTTTAAAGATTATACTTTAAAATTTTCAATAAAAGTTTATATACATTTATACCTAAATATAATATCAAGAATTTTATTGTAAACTTTTTGGCAAATAAAATTAATTTTTCTTAAATTTTTTGAAGTAAAAAAAACATGAAATAGAAAAAAAATATATAATCAAAATCATTTTTACGATACTTCTAAAGTAAATCCTAATTCGTTAGGAATTTTTTAACTTTTGATTCGAAAATAGTAAAAAAAAATACTAGTAGCGGAGTAAACTTTACTATTTTAGGAGTAATTTTTCACTATTTATTAAACAATTATTAAACAATTCACTATTAAACAAAAATAAAATAATGTTTACTACTTTCGAAGTGACTTCTAAACTTTACGAAACTTGTGTCAACTTTTACTCCGAAAATAGTAAAAATTATTATATTTCCGGAGTAAATTTTACTAGTCTAGGAGTAATTTTTCACTATTTCCACCAAAGAAAATTAAAAGGCATTAAAATAAGCTGCAACGCTTATTATTTTAATCCAATTTTGCTTATTTTAATACTCTCTAAATCTGAATTAGTAAAAATGTTTACTAATTTAAATTAGTGACTCACTTTTTGCTTTAGATTTAGTTAAATTTTACTAATAATTAGTAAAATTTTACTAATTGAGAAGCAAAAAGTAAGTCACTAATTCAAATTAGTAAACTTTTTTACTAATTCAGATTTAGAGAGTACCAAAATGGATTAAAATAAGCAAAATTGGATTAAAATAATAAGCGTTGCAGCTTATTTTAATGCCTTTTAATTTTCTGTGGCTCTCTAAATCTGAATTAGTAAAAATGTTTACTAATTTGAATTAGTAACTCACTTTTTGCTTCTAAATTAGTAAAATTTTACTAATTGTTAGTAAAAGTTACTAATAATTAGTAGAATTTTACTAATTGAGAAGCTATTATATATACTAATATTATATATACTAATTGTTAGTAAAAGTTACTAATAATTAGTAGAATTTTACTAATTGAGAAGCAAAAAGTGAGTCACTAATTCAAATTAGTAAACATTTTTACTAATTCAGATTTTGAAAGCAGAGCAAAAATTTTTAGAGATGTTCAAAAGTTTAAAAAATTTTAGGCTTTCCGTAAGTAATAAAATATTTTTTCCATGTACACTGAGAAAAAAGGTTTGAGCTGACAACCATAAATATTTCATTTAATATATGTGCAACTAAAATTTTTTGGTTGACACAACTAAACTTTAGTTGACATCAACCAAAGTTTGGTTGAGACTACCAAATTCTTTTTCATTTTCTTATTTAGTCGTCTGAAACAAACTTTGGTTGTTGTCAACTAAAGTTTAGTTGTGTCAACCAAAAAATTGTAGTTGCACATATATTGAATGAAATATTTGGTTGTCAGCTTAAACCTTTTTTCTCAGTGTAATTATAATTCTTCATTTTGATCAAATTTCCCGCCTTTTTCCCTGTCAACAAAATTCCAAGCTAATTCCCAGTTTTTCCGGTCAGTAACCACCCTATTTACTTGTCTCATGTAATTTTCAGTTCACTTTTCCAAAAAGTCTCTCTCTCTCTCTCTCCCTCTCTTCGTAATGCTTAAAAATGTATAAAAACTGACAAGATTAAAAAGCTACTGTAAAAGATTGGAAGATGATTAAAGAAGGCAAAGTGATGAGAGACGGCCCAACCTCCTGACGGTTCTTGAAGGTTCATCAGCGAGCAATTTTGGTAAAAAAAAAAATAAAAAAAATAAAGAAAAATCATTCAAGTCTTGTCGTAATAGACTTGCGATATAGGTTAGTCGTTGGTTGCGCGAAGGGTGTGTCGGGGTGTTAGTTTCCTGGTCGGATATTAGCTGTCACCCGGCTCACTGGACAGGACACCAGATATATATCGAACAGGAATAGTGTGAGGTCCAGGTATATACTGTAGGCATCCGACATTGGATGCTTGCCACTTTTCGTTACGGAAACCTAGAATGGTGTGTGCGCCGGAATTTCATTGGTTTGACATCGCGTACCGAAAGAAAAGAACTGATACGAAATATATATATATATATATATATATATATATATATATATATATATTCGCATGTTTCGAAAATCATCAATTTCAAAATTTTTGTCCAGTATCATTTTTTTTTCTCGATCCCTACGAAATCCTGCCAAATAACTAAATTTTAGCTAATATAGCTATTTTTGACACAATTTGAGATTATATTTCTAATTTTGATTTTTTGAACTTAAAGAGAATTTTTTCAGATAAAATAGTTACTGTATAGTTAAAATGGGAATTTTTAAGAGAAGTGAAAGAGGACACTATAAGGATTATGTTCTTGGCTGGCAATCACTGGTTATAGGAACGCAATAGATCTACATTTCTGAACGGATTTAAGCGATATCCATAGCTTCGATACAGCCTATGTTATAGCCTTGCGTACGCCATACGTGATGCAATGCTACCGACAACATCACTGGAATACCAAAATACGTACATCATCCCCCAGGAGCCTATTCCACTGCCATGTATCATTCGCAAAAAAAAGAAAAAAAAACATAAGAATATATTCAAAACTTATTTGACGCTGTATCCTGAATGTCATATATATATATAGTTGAGAATTTTTCTTGTTTATTGGAAAAAATGTGAAATTAATAAAGTAAAGTCAATAGATTTTATTAAAAGACTCACCCATAGACGTGCTCCACGCTGTCACAGGATTATTATTTGTCAGCATTCTGAATCATTGGAACCTAAAAAAAAAAGTTTTTTAAAATTATTTACAATTAATATTTTTAAATATAAGTAATAGTATAAATTATAATAAATATAATGTAAAAAATAATAAAATTCAAATATTTAATAATTATTTGATTTGAAACATTTTGCGATAAATTTTGCAAGTAATTTTAATGAATAATGACATTTAAAATTAACAAACTGGCTAATAATCACTTCGAAATGTTATTATTATCTAGATGAGTAAAATCTGCCTAATGCTAATAGCTTAATGAGAAACAGTGCCTCCATCGATTAGCTTAAGTTCTAATCGACTGGTGGCAGATTCGCAAAACCGCAACTCATCGTCGTAACCGTGTTATTAATGAAAACGGTGGTTGGATATAGGAACGAGAGAAATGGAATTATAGCGAACATAAGTGACATTACCATAAGATTTTCGAAAGGCTTATTCAAGCCCAAGGGACATTTTGACAGGATTTAAACGCTTATATCGCACGACAAAGGGGAAGAGATTGTTAATACGATCCGTAACCCTCCCCATATTTACACCATCATCATGGCATGTCTCCTTATTTTCATAAATAGAACTTCTCATACTCTGACACGTATATATGTATATATTTTAAATATATATAACTAACTGACAATTTCTTTTATAATAATAACAACAAATATTTGTAAGAGAGAGAGAGAGAGATAAAAAAAATTAATGAAATTCTTGATATGTAAAGAAACGTTTTTTTTATCGAAATATTGATAAAACAGTTCTGTTTGAACAAGTAAAAGAAATTTTCTTTTTATATATATTCATTGTAAAATGGAATTTTTTGTAACTTTTTCTAAAATAAAAAGCTTTTTACTTTTAAATGGATTTAACGATTTTAATTAAACTATGACGTTAGAGAGAAAAATAACGCTGTATTTTTCATTGAAAAAACTATTTTAAATTAATTTCTTTATATTTATTTCATAAATTTTTTCAATAATGATATTTATTTAATTTTCTGTACTTTTTAAGAAACATTTTGTCTGACTAAAACTGTATTATACTACTGAAAATAAATGTTCACGAATTAAAAAAAGCCTTGGTCTGGCCAAAAATACTTTTACTACTGAAAATAAATATTCATGAATTAAAAATATTTCGTCTGACCAAAAATGTCTTTCACTACTGAAAATAAATGTTTTACAAATTAAAGACATGTCGTCTGACCAAAAATTATTTTTTACTACTGAAAATATATTAAAACAATATTGTCTGTCTAAAATTCTTTTTTACTACTTTAACTGAAAATACAAAAATTAAAAATAATGTGACTGACCAAAATTGTCTTTACTACTGAAAAAAATTTAATCACGAATTAATAACATTTTGTCTGAACAAAACTAAAAAAATATTGTCTGACTGAAATTACTTTTTACTACTGGAAATAAATATTCACGAATTAAAAGTATTTCGTCTGACCAAAAATGTCATTTACTACTGAAAATAAATGCAAAAACTAAAAAAATATTGTCTGACTGAAATTATTTTTTACTACTGGAAATAAATATTCACGAATTAAAAATATTTCGTCTGACCAAAAATGTATTTTACTACTGAAAATAAATGTTTTACAAATTAAAGACATGTTGTCTGACCAAAAATATTTTTTACTACTGAAAATATATGTTCACTGACTAAAACATTATTGTCTGACTAAACTTTTCTTTCACTACTTTATCTGAAAATACAAAAATTTAAATATTTCGTCTGACTGAAACTGTCATTTACTACTGAAAATAAATGCAAAAACTAAAAAAATATTGTCTGACTAAAATTATTTTTTACTACTGAAAATAAATGTTTTACGAATTAAAGACATGTCGTCTGACTAAAAATATATTTTACTACTGAAAATATATGTTCATTAACTAAAACAATATTGTCTGACTAAAATTCTTTTTTACTACTTCAACTGAAAATACAAAAATTAAAAATAATATGACTGACCAAAATTGTCTTTACTACTGAAAAAAATTTAATCACGAATTAAAAACATTTTGTCTATAAAAAATAGTTTTTACTACTGAAAATATATGTTCACTGATTAAAACATTATTGTCTGACTAAAATTCTCTTTTACTACTTTATCTGAAAATACAAAAATTTAAATATTTGACTGACTAAAACTGTCTTTTAGTACTGAAAATAAATGCAAAAACTGAAAAAATATTGTCTGACTGAAATTATTTTTTACTACTGAAAATAAATGTTTTACGAGTAAGAAATATTTCGTCTGACCAGAGCTATTTTTTACTACTAAAAATAAATATTCACGAACTAAAACAATATTATCTGACTTAAATTTTCTTTTACTACTTGCAATTGAAAATACTCGAATTAAAATATATCCTCTGCCTAAAATTGTTTTTACTACTGAAAATAAATATTTACGAATTAAAAACATTTCGTCTGACCAAAACTGTCTTTTACTACTAAAAATAAATGTTTTACAAGTTAGAAATATTTCGTCTGACCAGAACTATTTTTTACTACTAAAAATAAATATTCACTAATTAAAAACATTTTATTTGGCCAATACTGTATTCTACTAATGTAGATAAAAATGTTCACGAATTAAAAATATTTCATCTGACCAAAACTGTTTTTACTACTGAAAATAATTGTTCACGAATTAAAGAAGTGTTGTCTGACTGAAATGTCTTCTACTACTGAAGTTATTAAAGTATAACACGAACTAAAACCATATTGTCTGACTCAAATTCTCTTTTACTACTGAAATTCAAAATACACAGAATTAAAAACATTTCGTCTGACTAAAACTGTCTTCTACTCCTGAAAATATATGTTTACGAATCAAAGAAGTGTTGTCTAACTACAACTTGTTTACTCTACTGAAACTGAAAAATTATCTTTACGATAATGAATTCCTTTAAACTAATAACAATCGTCTGACTCAAAATTGGCTTTTACTACTAGATTTAAAAATTACGATAATTTGCTAATTAATTTTTGCTGTCTACAAAAAACAAAAAAAAAGTTTTATTTTATAATTTAATTTTTCTCCAAGAAAAATTGAATTCCGTGATAAAATTATCATAAAAATGAAGAGAAATTCATGAGAAGAAAAAAAAAAAAGATTTCAACATCTATCATTATGATTGTGCAAAGGTCGGGTAGATTTTGACCAGTGCTGACGTTGTATGGTTTCAGGACACACCGCGTTCGGTCAGAAGTTGAAGAGAGGGTTGAGAGAGGGTGAGGGCGGGGGGGGGATCTAAATCCAAGGGTGGAAACTTAGATATATAGGTAAACCGTTACAACGAACTGATGGGATAAGGGATGGTCGGTTGTGGTGGTGGTGATAGTGGTGAGGGGGATTCAGTAGCTTTGGAATGGGTCGGGGTTGGACGTGATCTTTCATAGCGGCTTGATTGGAACGAGTTGCAAGAGAATATATTGTCAATTTTCACTCACTCACTCAAGTTTAATGTTGTGACAAAATATTTAAAGCCCAAACTAAACTGGCAACAATAAAAGGAGACACGTTGATGAAATCAAGATCGCAGAAAAGTTGCGAATGCACCTATGTCCACACGTGTGCTGAGAGGAAGAATAAAAAAAAAAAGAATAGAAAGAAAATATACGAATTTAGAAGTATTCCGACTCTTACGAGGGGTTATATTTACCTGCGCACGACGTTTCATAACAAGGAAAGGATATCAGATAAGAGAATGAGAAAAAAAAAATCATATGCCCCTTTTGTTTGAACTATTGATTTCTGAATTTTATTTTCAGTGAAAAACGAAATTAGTCGCTAATGAATCAGTTCATTAAAGGAATAAATTATTAAATTAATTACAATTGTCAGAAGCAATTTATATATTCCTTCCGGTGTTTTAAACCATATTAACTTTTATCACTTAATCAGAATTTATTATAATTTGATCAATATTTATAATTAAAGCTTTATTATTTAATTAAATATTTTTTTAAAAAAACTTTTTCTCTGTTGACGTGAAAAATTGCAGTCAGTATTTAAGGGTATATATAAGGAACACAAAGTCATAAAGACCTGCTAGAAGTTAGAGAGATCGTGGATTGCTCTAAAAGGGTCCTTGAGAAATGAGAGGAGTCATGGCTTCGCTCGTAAATAGTCGTATTTCCGTTGATTGGGGCGTGAATCTTCCTCCCTGTATACGAATACGAACGCCAATACACACTGATTACGCCGCAGCATTTAATTGATTCTCAACCAATTTAGAGGCCCTCCGGGCTACCGTTCTACTTTCAGAATCTTTCTTTCTTTTTTTTTATCCTCTATTTCAATTCATCACTCACACTACTTTTAAAATTTTTAACCATTCAATTTGCAATCAAGTGAAGGAAAAAAAATAAAATTATTATTGAAATTCACATACAGTACTTTTTTTTTGAAATTTTGATACGAAATAAATTTTATTTATAAACAGTTGATTTTTATTGGCAAAATTCAATGTTATTGGTATTGATTTTATTTGGAAGTTTTAAATTGTGTTAAAGAACACAAGGCAAGTTTCAGTGTCGTTTTTATTTGTTTCGAGTCTTCGGAGAGAAAAAAAAAAAGCTTTAACACGCCGCTTTCCTTTTCGATTTATTTCGACATCACGAAAGAAAAGTAATAGCGCGAGCCGACCAGCGAAGATTGCCTTTAGTATAGAACTTCTTTATGAGAATTCATCAAATGGATTTCGACGAGACTGCAGGTGTTTCATTACAGTGAAAACAAACTGGAATTTTATATTTTATTTATTACATTCTCGAATCATCAAAACTAGTTTCTTTCATTATAATTAAGACAATTTTTTTTTTTTTTTTTCGAAAAATATCTTTTCTAAATCTGAATTTAAAAAATTTTTTCTATCTAATTTGAATTCTACTGAAATTGTTAGAAAGAAAAAAAATTCGCATGTATTTTATAAAACGCAATATATAATCCGCGGTTTCAACGAAAAAAAAAAAAAAAAAATTTGTCGTTCTTGTGAGCGCAACATAATCGTGCTCTCACGAATTAAGACCTAATTTTCCAAAAAATGCTCGACATAAAATTTATACCGGAAAAAGAATTCCTCAGCCTCAAACTTTCAATTAGTCACGTAACTTAAAAACGTGCTTTTCGTTTGATCCCGCATTGTAATAAAATATATAATTATATTTTACTAGAAAAAAAGAGAGAGATAGAAAAAAGAAAGATTCATTTACAAATCATATTTTGAATCAAAAATATTTTTTCATCGACGCAGTTTATTTGATATTAGTTTTTTTTATCGAAAATAAAAGAAATTTATTTTAAATATAAATAAATATTTTAATTTAAATATATATAACAAATTTAAAAGGATTTCAAAAATATTTTTGTTTAACAATTCAAAAAAAATTATTTATAATACAATATGACACGCTTTCAATCTCTATACAGCAATAGCAGCAGCAACAGTAACGAAGTAGTACATGCATGCAATTAAAAATTTCGTTCGCTTTTAATTAAAATGTTATTCTTGATAAATCCATATTCGTCCTGGTATTATTTTGATTTTAATGAAATGAAATCACCACAAAAATATATTAAAGATAGGTATATAATTAGTGCGATTACTGGTTTATAAAAAATAAGAATTTTTGAAAAATCAATTTATAATAAATTGATCAGCAATAAAAGAATTTAAAAAATTGAAAATAAATTTTTAAATTAAATATGAGTAAAAAAATAATTTGTATCATATGTATCGCGCGTGTCGAATTAAAGAGTTTATATAACGCTTTTGATTCGCTTCGATAAATACCAAAAGTTTGCACATATATTGAATTTCAGTAAAAGAAAAAAAAAGTGTCTTAAGAGAGAAGGAATCTTATTTTTAATAGCAATAATTGTCTTAAATTTTATTACTTTTTTTAATATTTTCAATTTTAATTCAATGCTCAATTGAGTTTATGGAAAAAATAGAAAAGTTGACATAAGAAACAGATTATTTGTCTGGCCTTTAATCCAAAGATCTTTCTTTTTTTCCCTTCTTTCCTCATTACTTACAATTTGTGATTTTATTTTGTCTGGTCGCAATAGAAAGATGTTTTGAATCTATAGTTATAATGGTATAGTCAATTGTCAAACCCAGCAATAAGAAATAAAAAATTCTTTCAAAAAAGAAAGAAGAGAATATAAGGAATAGTAGAATCAAATAAAGAAAAGCAGAAATTCGAGTAGCTATACAAAACATAAATTAAGATCCCAATAGTAGAGATTGGCGACAAAGCCCCTTCTCCAATTCTTTATTACGATAGTTCAAATGGGATCAAACTACTTTTGCCACTCCGTTTAACTTCCCTTATCTCAAGGAGTATAAAAAAAAATCTATTTGCAGATTTTTTTTTTTTTCTACAAAAAACAATTGTCTAGACAAATTTTTCATTTATCACTTTCAAATATTCAAAAAGTAGAAAAAAAAATTTCCTTAAAATAAATAATAATTCAGTAAAATGCAATTGTGAACTAATTTTCAAAATTACATTGCAATCAATTAATCCAAGTGCTTTAAAATGTTTAAGTGTTAAATGATTTTAGCAAGATATGAATATCTTGATTAAGGAAACGGGGAAATAACAAACAAAACAAAAAAAAAAGAAAAAGATAAAAGTGAGAGAATATAAGCAAAGCGACACGACGTTTTCATGGAAAAGTATAGTCGAGATGCGGCAGAATGTAAATACCAATTCCGGTTAGCAAGGCTGAAGGATCCAAAGAGAGAGAGAGAGAGTCTGGGGTGAAAGCATTGAATGAGACAAGTTTGCTTTTGTCCTACAATTACTCAGAGACAATGAGAGCACCCTCCAAGAAGTCCCCTTAACCCTCCCTCCACCCCCCCCTTACCCTTTTTCGTTCGGCAGCACACCGAACGAATCTCTAACTAATATCAAACTTCAGAGAGAAAGAAAGGCCCGAGCAACCATCGTAACAAACTTTGTTTGTAGTATAAGATTCACGATCGATTTAGAGGGAGAATAAGGACAATCTTAAATCACTTATATATGATGAAAAATAGTTATATATGCAAAAAAAAAGAAAATAGAAACATTACGAAGAAAAATGATTTTTGAAAAAGAAGGTCATCTATTTTGAAGATAATATTGTCTAAAAGTAATCCTACTTTTTATTTTGAGGTCATTTTTTATCAAAAATTCTTCGTAAAATTAAAGCGGGGTCTGTATTCATTATACGAACGGAAAATTTTGATCGTGACAAAGTCTTTTTTAATTAATTAAAATTTTATATTTATTTTGTATTTAACACTGAAAAATTTTTTATTTGATTCAAATGATTGACTGTTATCAAATAAATATTTACTTACAGTGATCTTAAAATGTCCGCCTCAAGGTAATATTACCGGGAATATTACTGTAATATTAACGGTAATATTACAGTAATATTACAGACTGATTTGAGTTATTCATAAAGCATAAAAAACGTAAATATATTATAAGTCAATTTGGCTTGTTGGTAAAACTCTGGACTCGTGTGCTTTGAGTTCGGGGTTCGATTCCCTGGATGGGTAGATTTTTTTCGTAAAGAAATGTTCCCATAATATTACTGTAATATTCTCTTGTAATATTACCTTAATATTACGGTATAATATTACTGCAATATTACTGTAATATTACCTTAATATTAGCGCGTAATATTACAGTAACATTACCGGTAATATTACCTTGAGGCGGACATTTTAAGATCACTGTAAGATTACTGTAATATTACAACGTTATATTACGAATCTTACATGTAATATTACCTTGATATTGAGGTTATATTACGTGCTTCTTGGGTTGAAACAAATAATTTTTATAATTAAATAAATTTTATTTGAACCAATAATTTTTGTATTTGAAACAAATATCATTTAATTGGCTCCAATAATAATGATAATTAATTATTATGAGGTAAAACGTTGTCACGTCAAAAAGTACAATTGAATTTTTTTAATAAATTAAAATATTTACCTTAATAACGAATTTTCAGCTTCATGGCGATTTTCTTTCAAACTAAATAGCCCTCGGAGATCCCTACTTTCAAATTAAATTTCCATTCAGAAAATGTGAAAAATAATCGTAAAAATAGACCGAGTTCTAAAAAATCTGAATATGAAGAATTCTGGGTCCTTCGAGTCTTTTTTTTTTACTTTCGCCCTTATCTTTGAAATTCGTTACACCACAAGCCATCGAGGATAGAATCTGCAAAAATAAAAATACTGTCAGCGCTGTACTAACAAGTAGTTAAATATTTTACCAGTCGGTAATATAGAAAGCTATAAAAAAAATTTCATTTCCAAATTTGACAAAAATAAATGTGGCATCGAAACTAAACCAAAAGTAATCGAATAACACAAAAATGAATAGTTTTCAAGAACTCTGCGTCGATTCGAAACGCCAAATTTTTTTGACTGACTCCCACTAGATTTTTGAGTAAGACGTATAACGTCAAAAAATAATTTACAAAATCCTAAAAATATATAAAAAAATGAAGAGAAAAATTATTGACAGGAATCAAGTTAAAAATATGAAAAGTAGCACCTAAAGAGGAATTTCTTTTTTATTCTTTGATTCTGACAAGAAAAATACAAACCTAGAAAGTCTTAGGATAAGCGTTAAGCCGAGCAAACCTGTGTGTGACTGGCAGGTTTCTTCATCGAAGAAGCCACCGGAAATGATGCTTCCATCGAAAGAGTGGAAAATTATTGTCACAGATTTTACTGGCAAAGAATTTATAAAACAAGTCAATATTTTAGCAATAACGGAAATATACTTTAAATATGAAACAGTCCAATGCAAGACCGATCCTTATCGGGAGAGAGAGAGAGAGAAAAAAAGATGCCTCCTGACATCGACATCTACGATCGACTTCCTCCTTTGAAAAACTCTCTGCAAAACTCTCTCAGAGTACAAACACAAAAAAAAACCCCGAGTGTTTACCCAATTGAAAATATACATAAAACTAAAAAAAAATAAAAAACTTAAAAAGAATAAAAGAAAAATAGTCAACACTTTTTTTCTGATTTATTCCAGGAATCAAAATTTTTCACGGAAAAAATTATTCCCCTTTTTTGGTTTTAATATTTTTTTTAATTATATTTCGAATTTACACATGTGTTGTTAAATTTAATAACGTTTCAATTTAAATAAAATTAATTTCACATTTCTTGTTTAATAAAATTAATTTTCTGAATGCATTTATATAATTGACAAAATGAATTAATAAATTAAATCATTGTTGTTAAATAAATGAAATATTATTATTATTATTATTAAACTGCTACTTTATAAAATCTAATTTTATTAATATATTTGAAATTGGATAATTTCTAATTTGAATAGTTTTTCATATTGCGAATATATTCAGGTTTTGTAAGAACTTTTAGATGATGCAAAGATAGTATTTGAAAAGTACATTTCCTTCTATGAATATTGTAATGGAAGAGGAATAGGAAACGAGGGAAAAGATCATGTACATAATATAAGGAAACTATGACCGGTTCGTTATCAGAGAGACGAATGCCAATTATATTTTAGCCAAGACGAATCCAATTTATGTGTTCAAACTTTTCAAGTGGGCTTCAACTTTTGAACTCGAGCCTTCTCTCTCTCTCTCTCTCCTCGATTCCAACACTTACATCGCAAATGGAAAATAACGAGACAGAATCTCCCATTCGTTTGTCACATGTTTTTTTTTTTCTCAAGTGGTCAATAATAACTTATGAAAAACTTTATTGTCATAAAAAAAAATAATAATTTTTCAATTATTCATTTTTGTGAAAAAAAAAAGATTTTGTTATGAAATAGAGATTCATTTTTTTAGAAAACGATCGACCTTAAAGCATAATCTACACATGGATTTTAAAGTCTGGCGTTTAAGCTTGAATTTTTTTTTTTTTTTTTATTTGAAAAAAGTGAACTGATGGAAATTTAGATTCGGATAGAGTAAGAGAGTATACGGTGGATTTAGCCTCGAGCTGCAGGCAACCGTGGTCAGAGCCGATTAACGGGAGCAATTTATCAAAAAATAAAAGTGTACTTTTAAGCTGAACCGATATTTTTGCAACACATATGGCTCCCAACTGAGAGGAAATAAGTCTGATCTATATTGTTTCTTTATCTCATTTCCTTCCATCTTATATTCTTTATTTCAATTCAAAAAAATGAAAAAGTGAAATTTAAAAAAAAAATTTTTAATTCCTTCTAGAAAAATTAAATATTTTAATTTAAAATATATAAATTATTATTTTTTATATAGAACACAAAAAAAAGGAGGGATGAAAAAGAAAAATAATGAAAAAGATACGACTGCGTATGCATTATTCAAAATGGAAAAGTTTTTTCATTTGGCTATCTGTTGCAGAAGATTAGCGGAATGTTGAAAAGCTTTTCGTTCTCTGCTCGAAAAAGAAAAAAAAAGAGGGGGGAGGGGGTGGGGTTTCGCAGGGTGGTGCGATCTAATAAAATACATGAGGAAGCGACGTCAGATTTTAGTTCGCTCATCAAGGGGTAACGGAGAAGATATTAAAAGTACGATAGCGAACTTAACTCATTAGAACAGCTTGCCTTCTCTCCAGACCTGACTTTCGTTACAAGATATAATACCCTTGAACTCTGTTCTTTGGTATTGGTGCTCTCCTCCCTTACTTTTATTATCCAGTAAAAAAAAACCACTTTATTACACAAGTATTTCTTTTGATATCAATCCTCTAAATATTAAAAAACAAAAAATCTATTATAATTGTTAAAAAAAAAAAGTAAAATTTTTATTGTTTTCCACGAAACTCTATTTTATCGTCAAAAAAAAAAAAATAATTGTTAAAACGATAAAAAAAAAAGGTGTGGAATAAAATTGAATGCATTATCAAGTTCGATTACGTTAACAAGATTTCGACGAGTGAACGGTTTTAAAACTCGAACACCTACTGTGTGTAAAACTCGCACGATACTTTCTACCAAAGTGATGAAGGATTTAGAAAATCTATCTTTTTTTTTTTCATCTCGCAAAGCCGATGAGTGATTCAGATGGAGAGACAAAAAAGAGAGACGGAAATAGAAAAAGGAGAGTAAAATGATTCAAGTGGTTGCAACGTGATTTTAAGAGGATACCTCAAAGTCGATTAATCAAGAATTGAAATTCGTATTTCATGGGCAAATTCGTGTAATTTTCTCACAAAATTGAAAAAAAATTTAAATCTAAATATACGAGAAAAATTAAAAACAGTATGAAGGCATTATATAATTTATATGTGAATATTTGCAAATAAAGGCGCAAGACGGAAACAATGGTTAATGCTATAATAAATGGCTGTTCCATTGTTGCATGCAGCGGTCAAAATTTTCGGATGTGGCTAACTGACGAAGGATAATTTAACCGGCCCAAATAACACTGACGCGCAAATATGCTTTCTAATCCACCTAACGCGCACGCGGATATTAAGTGTAATTTGTAATAAAGGCAATTCGCAATTCAGACACACAGTATGTAGTATAATTCATATTCGCATTCCTGTTGACTTCCCGCATTTCAATTTAGGTGGCGTCAACGTTGTTACATATAGATATATAGAAAGAGAATGAGAACAGACGAATGTAATCGACGTGAAACCGTGAAAAATAGACGAATTTGTCGCGTGTCACTTTGAGTTCACAATATACTCACAGACACAAAAGATATGTGTATGTGTATAGAGTGAATGAATAAGAAAATTGTCAAGTTCCTTTAAACATTATAAAACGACATTTGTCAAGTGACTGTATTTTTTAACGAAAATTGTCAAAAAAAAAAATTTTTAAGATTTTAAATTATGCTGAAGTCCGCAACATTTTTGAAATGAAAAAATAATTAGACAATATCTATTAATTTGGATTAAAATTAAAAGTATTAATTTCTTGAATGTTTGTGCAAATCAAAATTAGAGATAAATTGACATGAAAAAATAATTCTATTTTAATTTTTCGTTTTTAAAAAACTTTGCGGACTTCAGATTTTAATAATATATTTATATTAATTTTTTTAATATCTCAAGTAACAGGAGATTGAAAATCAAATGGACAATATTGTCAATGTGCATTAAATGATGTGTTCTAAATTAAATTGTCAAATGTCAATAATCTATCTACTTATCAATTATTGCTATCTGATTGACAACTATATTACTGATAACGCCTTTCGCAATATTTTACTAAATATAAATTTTTGATTGATATTTCCTTCTCAATATGAAAATTTATATACTAATTTTTTATATTTAAAAACAATAACTAAATAATAGATTATATTAAAATTCCCATATTTTTAATAAATAATATTTTAATTTCTTTAAATTATATTTTTTTTTAATTATTTATAATTTATTTATTTATCTTTTGGCTTTCAGAAACAATTTATTAAGTAATGATTAAAATTTGTCAGCTGCCCAGAATACTCGTTCGGGTTTATATATATATACAATATTCATGGGGAACGAAAATAAATTGGTAGCCGCGACTCTACTCAGACCCATCGATTGTCGCGAATTGAAAAACAATTAGTGAATTGTGGTTGGCAGTAGTGCCACTACAATGACCATATAACCTGTTTTCTAGTAACGTTGAAACTCGACTCTCTCTATATATATATATACTCCGAATGCCATTGACGTTGCGTTTATTTGCATCCCATATTTCGAGAGGCAAACAAAATTTTCAGATGTCTACTACGCAAAGATACCAAACTGAAAAAAGGCAATTTTTCGATCCCTTTTATAATTATATTTACTTTACAATGAGAATTAAAATAGAATTGAAATATTCTACCCGGAATATTTTTTTTTTGGATAATAAAATTCATTGGAATCTTTGTGTAAATTATTTGGGGTCAATGAATATAATATTAGGTTTGAAAGCAACGGAGAAAAACTTTCTTCTAACGTAAAAAAAAAAAAAAAAAATAATTTTTTTTTCTCGACACTTTCAACCAATCGGTTCTCGATCTAGTCTTTCAACTAATCCAATCCGTCAAGATAAGTCTTTCAGACATGAAGATAATTCGGTTACCTCGACACCTCGTTCTGCGCTTCTCTCTCTTATCCATCTAACCTGATATATAGTCATCTAACATCGTTTCAAATATCCTTCTTTATATTATTTTTTTTTCTACCTTTCTAAAATAATTCATCCCTTCAAATTTTTTTCAATATAAACAAATTAATAAAAAAAAAATTAAGTAATTTTCAAACTTTTTTTGCAGAAATAAATTCTGTAAAAATAACTATTAAATAATGTATGAATAGAGATGAGATTTCCCCCAGTAGATATGACATATTGGTCAGCCAGTGACAAAACATTTTCATTAATAATTTTCAATAGAATTCTATTATATTATCTACTATAATATATTTTACCCCCAAATACAATTATGTTCTCCATGTGATTTTCACAAATGATGAACAATCCATCTTTTTTTTATATAATACATTTTAGTTCACTGATTTAAATGACTGTATATTTTTAATTTAAATTTTAATCAAATAAAATTTTACTCCGATTCTAATTATAAAACGTAATGAGAAAAACTTATTTAAAATGCTATTAGAGCAAAAAATTTATTGCGTCAAACTACAAATTGACGCACATATGAAATTATTTTTTTATAGTAAAAATTATACAATATATTTCGAATTAATATTTTTTTGTATAAATTATTATGCAGTATTAAATATTACCATATATAATAAATAAATATAAAAAATAATTCTCATTTTAATATTAATTTTTTAAATATTTTTATAAACAACAAATTTTGTTTTTTTAGATATAGAATTTTTTTTTAATACTTTTAATTAGATAATTTTGTTCTAATGTTGACTATACATTTTCCGCCGCATTTATTTATGCATACACGAAAAAAAAAATTCGATCTTGCGAGAGCAACGGTTGATACCTATTGGAAAAATCATATATGAAAAGCCACCTATGCTTATAAAATTTTCATTTATTTTTTCGCATACTACAGCCATATGCAGCTGGTGCGCAGCACTGTGTAAAAAAGCCAGACCAACAAACGCAAATATTGAACCGATCATGGAAAATTCGAACCAACAAACAAAAGAAAAGTTTTTTTTTTATATATTTGTATTTGTACCTTTATATAAAGATTTTCCCGCAAATATATTTTCTCTAAAACAAATTTTCATTAAGAGTGATATGTGTATCGTCTATAGGAAAGCACTGGACGTTTTTTTCAAAAACAAAAACAAAATGAACAAAAATATTTTTAGTTTTTAAAAATCAAAGAAATATGCCCTTGGGGAATCAACGATTCAGATTTAGAGAGTGGGCATTGAAAAAAATATTACAGTTTATCAAATAAATATTTATGTATCAAATAATTATTTTTTCAAATAAAATTTTACTTAATTAAATAGTTTTTTAAATACATAAATTATTCAATTAAATACAGTTTGCTTGATTCAAAAAAAAATTATTTAGTTCAATATTTATTTTTTAATAGTAAAATATAAAGTAAAAAATACATTATAAAGTAACCGATTGTTTGAATAATATTTTTCCAGTGGTATACAAAGAAAATAAAATAGATAAATTATTGCGTACACTGAAAAAAAAATTTATTTGATTCAAATACTCGATTACTTGACTATTATCAAATAAATATTTATTTGTATCAAATAATTATTATTTGAGTCAATTAAATGGTATTTGTTTCAAGTACAGAAATTATTTGTTTCAAGTACAGAAATTATTGGTTCAAATACAATTTATTTAATTCAAATAAAAATTATTTGGTTCAAATAAATATTTATTTGATAATACTCAAGTAATCGAGTATTTGAATCAAATAAATTTTTTTTTCAGTGTATTAACTAATTCGAAAAAAAGAAAATAATGTAAATAATTTCTATAGGGTCGACTAATAAATATTTATTTAAATCAAACTATTTTTATTTGAATTAAATAAACTGTATTTGAACAAATTATGTATATTTGAATCAAAAATTTTTTTTTTAATTTATAATTGTTTGATTCAACTTTTTTTTTTGCTAACAGTCATATAAAATAGATGACTTGAATTAAGTAATAATTTTTTCTTTCAATAATTTATATTATAATATAACGTGAGAGAATTTTGAAGTTATTCATACTTGACCTCATTTAATTTTAATTATCTTTCACCTACTACATTCATTATTTCGCGTCTAATAAAAGTGGATATGAGCTTTCTGAAAATTTCTACAATATATTACTTCTTGTTCTATCTTGTTATTTTGCATTGGGATAACTATGTTCGTAATGATGTTCTGAAGTGCCTCTTAAGTATATACTTGAAAATATTTTGTGCCTTCATGTCCACATAATTATTAAAACCATTACATCATCACCTAACATTTAATCCACTTTATAAATCCCCCTCCCCCCCCTCTCTCTCACTAATTAACATAAGTTTGAATAACACGAGAACAATCTAAGAAACATTTAATAAGAAAATAAAACACTACTTGATTTATTATTAAATTCAGTATATTTAAAATAATTAATTAACAGTTAAAATATTTAAATTTGCAATTTCTTGAAACAATCAAATTAACTTAAGAACTTAACTCACGGAATTGACTTATGAAGATTTAGTTGAGACTAATATATAAAATATATGAAACTAAAGTTGAAGGTGCCTCAGGCAAAAATTCTATGAGAAGAGTATTTCTTCTTTTGTTGGCTAACGATTTTTGAGAAGAAGAAGAAGAAGAAAATGTCGGAGAGTTAGCTAATTGGTTGACTGCCTCAGGCAGTTGTTCTCTCAAGAAATACCTTTTTTATTCCTCAACTTGAATATAGATATCTAAACCTAAACTTTATATATAAGTTAGAAGTTTTTTTTTCTAAAAAGAATAATAAAACTTTTAAAATAAGACTACTTGAATTAGTCAATTCTTCAAAAAAAAATTCTTTTCTATAATATTTAGGAGTATTATTCTATAAATTAATTGACATATTACTGTTAACTAGCTCTGCTATACATAAATTAAATTTCACATTAATTTATCATCCCTCTATATGGATATAATTATCCTAAATACTAGTATTTCACCGGATTCAGTCTGTGAATTTAATTTATATTATATATCGATTAGTAAGACTTCATATTTGAATTTTAATATACATGACATATGTATCTACAATATAGTGTTAGAATGATTAACAATTAATATTTCTATATTGGTATTTAAAATTAACACACACAAACATTAAAATATTAATTATTAATGTTAAATTGTCTCGTGTTATATAAAAAACTAAATAAATTTCGTCACTTTAAAATGTATACGTTTATTTCACACACACTCAATAAATAATTTAAACGACAATTGAATTTTTTAATTTGTACCATAGTATAGACAAATTAGTAAATAAAGTACGTGCTAGAGTTCCATTTAAATGGATTAAAATCTTTTGAAGAGGCTATGCTGTATTTGCAACATCGCGTATGTATATTTAAGCGACAATTTTATTCTCTGAAAATGAATTTAAATGGGAAATTTTTGCCAGTGTTAATATAATCACGTTTACAGGAATTATTATTTTTTTTTTTATCAAATTTGTTTAATAAATGGTATAAGTCATTGACCTTTGATAGGAAAACATTGATAAATTTAAAAAAAATATTACTCACATTTTAATTGTTAGAAATTTGCATCGATTTCCTGTTGATTTTAAGTTTCCTCGAATGTTAACACTTCACTTTTCATTTTACTTTTACTATCACTACTTTTAATATCTTATAATTCTATTATTTCAACAATTAACTTTAATTTCAATAATAATAATACTAAAAATAAACTAATAAAAAACTTTTAAAACTTTTTACTTTGAAGTTGCGACTTTGAGAACCTAACCTCACTTTTACCGTTGTATTTTATATACTTTTCCAAAATAATTTCACTATAACCAAATAAATAATCATATAACTTTCATGAACAAACAAATTAAATTGAGTAATCTCACCAAAATAAACTGATTACCCCCAAAAAAAAAATAATGAAACAAAAAACGAGCGAGCGAAGAAAAATCAAAACGATACTACCTATTGACATATAAAGCATTTATCACGATCTAAACTTTTACCTATTTCGATACATATTTTATCTTCTCACTATATATTTCTATTATTATTAACTTTATTTGTTATTAATATAATAAAACAAATTAAACAAATACTAACAGCACTAATATTTGCAAAGTCGCAACGGAAATAATCGTATGAAAAATTTTCACAATCACGTGATCATATGTCACGTGATCAAAATGGCGCTTGTCCTGAATTATTTGAATTCAAATAAATGAAATTTAATTGTAAACGCAATTGAAATTTGTTTAACATATATCTTATATAATTGTTATTATGATGATTATTATTTGATTATATAATTAATATTAATTAATAAATATATTAATGGAGAATGAAACATTTTAATTACCAACATTCAAAAATAACAATAAAAAATTAGACACCAGATGGCAGTGAAAACGGAAGGATAGTGCTGCCCTCTATGTAAACAAATTCTTTAACTGTCTGCAACTATAACAATAACAATAAATATAATTTCAATACAGTTTACAGTAATTTTAATTAATAGTTTACACTAATTTAATTTTATGTTCAATTAACAATTGTCAGTGTGTAAATAGCTTTTAAAATATGTTTAGAAAGAAAATAATGGACATGGATAAAGAATTAAAGAACAAAAAGGGGAAAAAAAAAGTTTAAGAACAAACCAGGACTTAATACTTGAACTTTCATATAAATATAGTCGAATTTTATTAAATTATCTAATAAAGAAAAGGGAAAAAATGTAGAACGTGTATTAATGACTACTATATTAGAAATTGACAGTATAAAACATATCTCAGGTAATGTACATTTTTTTAATTAAATTTATTTTTATTATACGGTTTTGGACCTGAATAAACATTTCATATCTAATTTTTTTTATTCTTAATGAATAAAGTTAATATTATTTTTCTCGAATTAATATAATACTAATGGCATTTTTTTTAGAAGAATAGTTACACAAAATCAATAATTTAGAAGAAAAAAAAACTATCTGATGCCAATCTTGATAAACGTTTTGCAATTAAAACAGTAGAGGAAAAAAATAAAGGTTAAATACAAGAAGAGAAACTACAATTGATGGAGAAATTGAAGAAAAAGGAGAAAGAGGATGAAGATAAATCTATTAAAGTATTGAAAGAATTGGAAAATGTTAAAGTCTCTTTGGCAAAATTAATTGCAAAGAAACTACAAATAATAAAATATAAGGAGATTTAACTGATAAGATGATTTAGTTTCATTAATATTTAAAATTTACCAGTTTTCTTAATTCTATTTTTTGTAAATACATTTTTTATATATCTATTTTTTATTTTATTTAAACTTTACAAGTTTGTAATTTTTAATTAAAATGTTTCAGATTTTCCGCTTTATAGAAAATATTTTTTAATGACAGATGGTGATAAATATTTTAAATATTTTTCACAAGTTTTAACAGAACCAAATAATCAAAATAGAAATCACACCACACATTTTAAAAAACAACAACTTCCTGTAACCGATTCCAAAGAAATTCCATTCACTAAAATAATATTAGGTGAGTTTTTTTTATTTTTGTTTTATTCTATGTTTGATAATTTATGTAATTTTTAAACTTATGAAGTAAACAAGCACAAAGTAAAATGAAACAATAACAGACTCATTTAATTTTAAAATAAAAAAAAAAATGTATTCACATTTCTTATTTTTCACATTTGATTATTCAAATACAATGTAAAATCATGAATAATTTATATTTTTCTAATTAATATAGTTAAGAATCAAGTTTTCTTTTACGCCTAAAAAGTTGATATGATAAATAAACAAAAAGAAGAATCTTATGACTTTAAAAATAATTTGCATAATTTATTTACATAATATTGAAAAGTTCTAACGATGTTTAATTTTTAACATAAAAATGCTAATAACTTTATGAATGTTTCTAATGTCTTAATATTACAACTTGTTGTAATAAGTTTCATTACAAGTACTACTAATTTATGGATATTCTATGCAGAATGATGCGACATCCGGGTAACCTTTGACACTGGATGTATTACCGAATAAAAAAGCAACGCATATTCATTATGAACTGTTATATTGTTTTTTTAAAGGATTTCTTTCAAGACTACATTCTTAAACTATCAATGGAATTCAAGTTCAATGCCCTGGAAATAGCCTATAGATGCCCTTATGCGATTGTTTGTTTTTAAATTTATTTATTTACTATTTTAATTTATTATTATTATTTCTGATCAAAATTTTAAATTTAATTTCTCTTAAAAAGTAACAAAAATTATTTTCTAATTTAAAAAATATATTTTTTTTTATTCAAATATATATATATATATATATAAAATTTTAAAACAAATACATTTTTATTTATGCAAAATGTTTAACAAAAATATAAAATTCTTTTTAATTTTAATATATTCAACATAATTTTTTACTCCAAAAAAAACTTTATTAAAATTGAAAATTCTAGAGGAAGGAATAATAATGAGTTTAGCAATAATTTATCTTGAATTTCATTTATTATTAATATCAAAGAAGGAAAAAGTGGCTTCAACTTTTTGACATATATTGCTTTTTCAAATTCATTTTAAAAAAAGAAAAACCTCAATTGCTTCCTGTAATGCATTTTTAATTATAACAGAGCAAGGCTACGCTGGGGTTAATGTCGATTCGTAATTTCGATGCCTATAAGTTCAAAGGAGATTGGGGTTTGGAGTCTCATTTGATTTTAAAAAGTGGGGGTAGCCGTTGTTATAAAAGAACGTTTAAAAATTTTCTCAGTCTTACTCGGACGATATAATAGAGAAGCAAATCAAATAAAATTTTCTCAATTTAATTAATGTGGTGTGAATAGTGAGAATAAATTATAATTAAGTGTGCTGTGCTCATTTTTTAGGCTACTATTTTGGATAACTACAGCCTTTCAAGATGAGCGAAAATCAAACAACTAGCCTTTGCAATGGCAAACGACTAACTCCTGAAAGTCCTGAAGAGGAAATTGTCATTTCCGGTATTGCAGGAAGATTTCCTGATTCCGATGACGTAAAACATTTTAAAGAAAATTTGTTCAATAAGGTGGACCTTATTTCGGACGACGATAGACGATGGAAATTAGGTCAGTTCTTTAATATAAATAAATTAATACAATGAACGTTTAATTAAATAATATTTTAATTATAGAAAATTAATTGAAAATTTGAAATCTAGTTTTAGATTTCTAAAATCTTAAAAACCAAATTTTTATTTATTATATTTATACTTTTTACTATTTAAAACAAAACAAAAATAAGTTTATAATAATTGAAAAATAAATTAAACATTTTTGTTTTTATTGACTATTTGTGTTTTATAAAATTCACATTATACTTAGAGTTCTTGACGTTACTTCATTTTAATTCAATGAACTTTTGAAATTAAAATGAGCTAATTGTTTATTGATGTAAAACTCGTCAATAAGTTACATAATTTTATTAAAAAATAAATATTTTATATAATAATAATAATATGTTGTTAATAATTAATTTAAAAAAATTTTATTAATTATTTGTGACTTAATAAATTTAATTTAAATTTTTAGATCATCCGGAAATTCCCCAAAGAACTGGAAAAGTGAACAATGTTGGAAAATTTGATTCTGTTTTCTTTGGAGTTCATTTCAAGCAGGCACACACCATGGATCCAATGTGTCGAATGCTATTGGAACACACATATGAGGCAATCATAGATGCTGGAGTTAATCCACGTAAATTGCGTGGCACAAAAACAGGTGTTTTTATTGGAGCATGTTTTTCAGAATCTGAAAAAACTTGGTTTTACGAAAAACTTCAGGTACATAAAAAATTTATTAGAAAATATAATTTCTGCAATAAATAAAATGCAATAATTATTGCATTTAATTATTTAAAAACATAAAAATTTTCCTTTTTTTATATTTATTGAAATTTAATACAATAATTTTTAATTTTGTATTTTTTTAAATCACACATACATATACTTTGTTTTAATTTTATTGTTTTTATAATATATTTCTCATTTATATTTATTTACAGTTTATGCAATGAGACATTTTTAATGTTATTTTTGTTAATAGAATTTAAATTTATGCGTGAAATAATTTGACTAGCCAGTCGAACAACGTATGTTAGTATAATACGTGTTTCCTGTTCGAATTTAAATAGTATTGACCTCTCAACTTATTCTCCACATTATCAATTTATTGAATCAAAAGGAGAATTTTCTTTTTCTTTTATTTGTTTTATAAGTGTTGTTTTACTTAATTAGTTATCACTTCTAAATATTTATTATTTAGATTTTTTAATTTATGTTATTAAATTTATATGACGTTATTAATTAATTAATAATTGCATTTATTTAAAAAATAATTTTTTTCTATTTTTATTTACAATTTTTTTTTAAATTTGTTTAATATGAAAATTAAATATAGGAAAAATATATTGAAAGCAGTTATTAACAATAAGTAATAAGGAATTCTTTAAATAAAAATTGTAATTTTTTTTTAGGTAAATGGATTTGGTATCACAGGATGCAGTCGAGCTATGCTTGCAAACAGAATATCTTACTGGTTGGGAATCAATGGTCCCAGTTATACTGTCGATTCAGCTTGTAGCTCCAGTTTATTTGCGATGGAACATGCATACAGAGCGATTCGTGATGGTCTTTGTGATGCTGCAATTGTCGGCGGTTCCAATCTTTGCCTCCATCCCTACGTATCCCTCCAATTTTCGCGTCTTGGTATATATAAAATAAAATTAGCCTTTTCAATATATTTTCTCAATGTTTACTTAGTAAAAAAATAGACAAAAATAATAAGTAAAATCTAAAATTTAACAATTTTTAAATTTTATTTATTTATTAATTTTTCTAAATTTCTTTTTTTTACTTTAAGATTAAAATAATTTTTTTTTTTTGACAGGTGTCTTATCGCCAGATGGACGTTGTAAATCGTTTGACGTTGATGCAAATGGTTACACTCGTAGTGAAGCTATTGCTGTTGTTTTTCTACAAAAAGCTAAAGATGCTAAAAGAATTTATGCAACATATGTGTATGCTAAAACAAATTGTGATGGTTATAAAGAACAAGGAATCACATTTCCCTCTAGTGTTATGCAAAGTGTTCTTCTACAGGAATTTTATCAAGATTGTGGTATTCCACCAACAATGTTAAATTATGTAGAAGCGCATGGAACTGGTACAAAAGTAGGAGATCCTGAAGAAGTAAATGCACTTGAGAAGGTATTTTGTCCTGGACGAACAACTCCATTGAAAATTGGATCCATCAAATCCAATATGGGACATTCAGAACCAGCCAGTGGTCTTTGCTCAGTTGCTAAGGTTTATTAATTAGATTATTAATATTAGAATTAATTAATAGAATTTTATTCTAAATTTATTTCATTTAATAGGTGTTGATAGCAATGGAAACTGGTTTTATTCCTCCAAATTTACATTACAATAAACCGAGGGAGGGTGTAAAAGCATTGGAAGATGGACGTATTAAGGTCATTACTGAATTAACCCCCTGGGAATTGGGATACGTTGGAATTAATTCATTTGGTTTTGGTGGAGCTAACGCTCATATTTTACTTAGATCCAATCAAAAAGAAAAGATCAACAATGGAGCACCTCAAGACGATTTACCTAGGCTCATTGTTGTTTCTGGACGTACCGAGGAAGCTGTTCATACATTATTAAATGATGTGAGTTTGTTTTGGAAATTTTTTACAACTTACAAATATTGGCGAATTCAATAAAATTGTTCTTTAAAGATTGAAAGCCGTCCAGTAGATGTTGAGCACGTGAGATTGCTTCATGATATTCACTCAGAAGATATTCCAAGTCATTTATATAGAGGATATACAATAATGGGTGGAAAAGATGTTGGAAGCAGTCCGATTAAAGAAATTCAACATTTTCCAGGCAATAAACGACCAGTGTGGTTTGTCTTTGCTGGAATGGGTTCTCAATGGCCCGGAATGGGTAAATAATTTAATATCTCTTTATTTTTATTATTTCATTACTAATTATATTTTTAAAATTTTTCAGGAGAGGCACTTATGCGGTTTCCTGTTTTTGCTGAAGCTGTACGTAAATGTGATGCTGTTCTAAAACCACGTGGTGTTGATATTTACGATATTTTGACAAACAAGGACAAAAAGGTCTTTGATAATATTCTCAATTCATTTGTTGGAATTGCAACTGTTCAGGTAAAATTATAATAATAAAACAAAAAAAGAAAATAATATGAAAAAGAAATGGAATTTAATGAGGGAATATTTTTCAGATTGGTTTAGTTGATTTACTGACATCAGTTGGTATTACACCGGATTATATAATTGGTCATTCAGTTGGTGAATTAGGTTGCGCTTACGCTGATAAATGTTTTACTGCAGAACAAATGGTGCTTTGTGCTTATTCTCGAGGACTTGCTTCCATTGAGACGAAAGTTGTGAAAGGATCAATGGCTGCTGTTGGTTTGGGTTATGAAGATTTGAAAGATTTATGTCCTCCTGATATTGAAATTGCTTGTCATAATTCATCAGATAGTGCAACAATCAGTGGACCAGCGGAATCAATGAAAAATTTTGTTGCTCAATTACAAGTTAGTGGAAATTTTAAAATTTTTTAATTTTCAAAAAATAGAAATTAATTTCATTTTTTTGTGCAGGCAAATCAAGTCTTTGCGAAAGAAGTTCCATGCAGTAATATTCCTTATCACAGCAAGTATATTGCTCCAGCGGGTCCTAAATTGTTGGCCTATTTGCAAAAAGTTATTCCAAATCCAAAAGCACGTTCTAATAAATGGCTTAGTTCATCGATACCAAGAAGTGAATGGAATTCAAGTCTTGCTCAATTGTCATCGGCAGAATATCACACTAATAATCTTTTGAGTGCAGTACTTTTTGAAGAAACAAGTGCCGCTATTTCTAAGGATGCAATTACTATTGAGATTGCACCTCATGGTCTATTGCAGGCAATTTTACGAAGATCGCTCGCTCCAAGTGTTGTCAATGTGGCACTAACTAAACGTGGCTATAAAGATAATGCAGAGATGGTACTTCAAGGTCTTGGAAAATTGTATAATATTGGTCTTCAACCACAGTTACATAATCTTTATCCTGAAGTTCAATATCCAGTAAGTCGTGGTACACCAATGATTTCTCCATTTATTCGCTGGGAACACTCCGATGATTGGTATGTAACGTCTTATCGTATGCAAGAAAAAATTGTATCAGGAGAAAGAATAGTTGAAGTAACTTTGTCCGACGAAGATTTTGAATATATGTCTGGACATGTGATTGATGGAAGAAATCTTTTCCCTGCTACTGGATATTTGACACTTGCTTGGGAAACCGTGGGAATGATGAAAGGAGAATTGTACACTGAAGTTTCGGTTGTATTCGAGGATGTTAAATTTTTGAGAGCTACAACTATTCCAAAAGAAGGAAGTATTGAATTAACAGTGATGATACAAAAAGGTAAGAGTAATTTTTTTAATTATTTTTTTTACAATTTTTTTAAAATTAAATTTACATTTTAGGTAGTGGAAGATTTGAGGTAATCGAAGGTGGTGTGGCAGTTGTAACAGGATTTATTCGCGCAACACAAAATCCAGCTGATGAGAGAATTAATCCTGATTTGACTCCTAAATTAGAAATGGAGGAAGAAATGCAAAGTAGAGATGTTTACAAGGAGCTACGACTTCGTGGATATCATTATTCTGGATTGTTCCGTGGTATAAAAAGTGCTTCGACAACGGGTGAAAAGGGTCACGTTACTTGGTCTAATAATTGGGTTGCATTTATGGATAATATGTTACAAATGGAACTCTTGGGCACCGATACAAGAGGTCTTTTTGTTCCAACAGGAATTCAAAAATTGGTTATTGATACCAAAGTTCATTTGAATCAAATTCGAGCCATGGGTGAAGAAAAAGGTAATAGTTACTTATCAAATAGAAGTTATTAGGAAATAATTTTCTTTTTTTTTTTCATTTTTCAGTATTTCCTCTTTATGTCTACAAGAATTTCTCAGCAATTGTTGCCGGGGGTGTTGAATTTAGAGGTTTAAAAGCGAGTGCCATTTCACGAAGAAAGCCAGCAGGAGAACCTGTACTCGAGGAATATAAATTTGTCGCACATCGTGATCGTAAAGAAATTCCATTTAAAACAGCTATTCGTCTTGCAACTCACATTGCACTTGAATGTCATTTAGGAATTAAGGTAAAATCCGTGGAATTAGCTGACGATGAGAATATTTCAGTTGATGATTTAGTGTCACCAAGAGTATTGGAAACTCTCGGTGATATGCCACTTATTCAAGCAGATGTAAATATTGGTGCTACTAAAACATTCGAGAATAATGAAATATCCGAGAATATTATTGTTAATGATCCAAAAAAAGTGATTACAACCGAAGCGAATGCATTGATTGCAATTGGACATAAATTGTTGACAAAAAATAAAACCGAAGACTTGAAAAAATTACTTTTTGCATTAAAAGACGGTGGTTTTATAATAAGTTGTGAATCGAATGATACAAAAATTCCTGATTCTACGGAAAATAATGAAGCTGATACTGTACTAGAGAAAAGAACCGAGAAAGGAGTTGTTGTTTTACTTCGTAAACGTGATAGATTGATAAAACATTCGTCTGTTATAAAAATAAATAATAACGAATTCTCCTGGGTAGAAGAAATGAAAAAAACTCTAAAAGCCGAATCTGAGAAAGATTTTAGTGGAAATTTGAGAGTTGTTATTGTAGCCGAAGGTGATTTTGAATCAGGATTAGTTGGACTTGTAAATTGTTTGACTAAAGAACCTGGTGGTGAAATTGTCCGTGGAGTATTGATACAAGATCCAAAAGCTCCTGAATTCTCTCTGAATAATCCATTTTATTTGAAACAACTGAAAATGGATTTATCAGTCAATGTTCTACGCCCTGGAAATTGCTGGGGTTCTTACAGGTAAATAGAAATAAACTGAAAAAGAAATGAAATATTTAATAATTTTTTTGTTTTTGTTTTCAGACACTTACAGTTACCACCAGTTGAAACTGTTCCTGTACGTCATATTTGGACGAATCAATTAGTGAGAGGAGATTTAAGTTCTCTTGCATGGCTCGAAGGACCAATTCAACCAGGTTTTAAACACGATGATCTAATTAAAATTATTTATGCACCGTTAAATTTCCGAGATGTTATGTTGGCGACAGGAAAATTGGCAGCTGAAGTTGTGGCAAAAACCCGACAATTACAAGAATGTGTCATTGGTTTTGAATATGCGGGAATTGATACCAAAGGTCGACGTCTTATGGGCATGTTAAATAGCAGATGTCTCACTAATGTGCGTGTAATCGATAGAAATCTCTGTTGGGATGTTCCCGACGATTGGAGTTTAGAAGAAGCGGCAACAGTTCCAGTTGTCTATGGTACTTGTTGTTATGCTCTTTATTTGAGTGGAAAAATGAAGAAAGGAGATAAAGTTTTAATTCACGCTGGTACTGGTGGTGTTGGTTTAGCAGCAATAAATCTTGCTCTATTTGAAGGTTGTGAAGTTTTTACTACTGTTGGAACACCTGAGAAGAGGAAATTTATTAAAGAAACATTCCCACAAATTCCTGATGATCATATTGGTAATTCTCGTGATACGAGTTTTGAATATATGATTTTTGAACAAACCAATGGTCAGGGTGTTGATATTGTTTTGAATTCATTAGCAGAAGAGAAATTACTTGCTTCTGTACGTTGTTTAGCGCCAAATGGTCGCTTTTTGGAAATTGGAAAGTTTGATCTTGCTGCTAATAATCCTTTAGGAATGGAGTCATTCTTAAAGGAAATTAGTTTCCATGGTGTAATGTTGGATAATATGTTTGATGCGGCTGATGATAAAAAAAAAGAATTGCAAAATATTCTTACTAAATATTTACGTAATGGTGCTGTGAAACCATTGGTAAGGACTGTTTTTCCAAAGGATCAAGTGGAAGCTGCTGTTAGGTATATGGCAGCAGGAAAACATATTGGCAAGGTTATAATAAATGTGTGCAATGAGAATGATCCAATTGATGGACTAACTCCCGCTCTACCTAGATATCATTGTTTAAATGGTCATAGTTATATTCTTCTTGGAGGTCTAGGTGGATTTGGTTTAGAATTAGCTGATTGGCTTGTTCTTCGAGGAGCTCAGAATTTGGTTTTGACATCTCGAACAGGAATAAGAAATGGATATCAAAAAATGCGAGTTGATTTATGGAAAAGTTATGGAGTGAAAGTTGTCATTGTTGCTGGTAAAGATGCTTCAAAAAAAGAAGACTGTCAATCTATTCTGAAAACTGCAGCCGATCTTGGACCAGTTGATGCAATTTTCAATCTTGCAGTAGTTCTCAAGGATAGTCTTTGGGAAAATCAAACTGCAGAGACCTTTGAAGAATCATTCAGATCAAAAGCTTGGAGTACAAAATTATTAGATGAATTATCGAGAAAAATGTGTCCTAAATTACGTCATTTTGTTGTATTTTCATCAGTGTCCTGCGGTCGTGGTAATGCTGGACAGTCAAATTATGGAATGTCTAATTCCGTTATGGAGAGAATTTGCGAGAGGCGTCACGCTGAAGGTTTACCCGCTTTGGCTGTTGAATGGGGAGCAGTGGGTGATGTTGGCCTTGTAGCAGAAATGCAAGAAGATCATAAAGAATTGGTCATTGGTGGAACACTACAACAGACTATTATATCATGTCTAAAAGAACTTGATGGTTTTATGCGGCAGGACAAACCAATTGTTGCAAGTATGGTTGTTGCTGAAAAAAGAGCTGGAGGTGCTGGAGCAACAAATATTGTTGATGCTGTCCTTAATATAATGGGTAAATATATGATCAATTTTTTCACTTATTGATTATTTTAATTTAAATTTTTCCAAAAATAAATTAATGAATCTCTTGCAGGATTGAAGGACTTAAAGACAGTGAGTCAACAAACTTCTTTAGCTGAATTGGGTATGGATTCAATGATGGCCGTTGAGATCAAACAAACATTAGAACGTGAATTTGAAGTCTTCCTTACAGCTCAAGATATTCGTAGTCTTAATTTTGCTAAACTAGTACAAATGTCAACACAAGATCAAGAAACTGAGAAGAAACTTGCAGCGGCGAAAGATAAAAATAAAAATATTGAATCAATTGCTGGAATGAGATTGTTAATTCGTGTTTTGGGTTCTGGTGATCTTATTCACGATGAAGTTTATGAATTACCATCAAAGAATGAACCAGGCAGAAAAGAGGTGTATCTAATTCCAGGTATTGAAGGCTATGGAGCTGTATTTAAGATATTGTCTGAAAAAATTAAATCACGAGCCGTTTGTTTGCAACTTGTTAAAAATATGAAAATGGAACTTTCTATTATTGAAATAGCTAAACAATTATTGCCGGTGAGTAATTATTTTAAATTTTGAAAAGTTACTCTTTGAAAACCTATTATTTTGTAATGTACATTTTTTTTAGACTGTACTCGAGAGATCGAAAGATCGCAGAGATTTTGTCCTTGTAGGTTATTCATTTGGATGTGTTATAACGATAGAACTTGCCAGGTTATTAGAAAATGAAGGTTTCACCGGCAGAATAGTACTTATTGATGGTTCGCCAGAAATTATGAAAAAACTCGTTGAACAACAACTTCCTTCCGCGCATAAAGGAGAACTGGAAACAAATTTACTCTTAGGTATAATGGACATATTGGCACCGAATTTAAGTGGAGAGGTAAGTAATTTCTTTCTATTAATATTAGGCAAAAAATTTACTTGTTTTAAAACTGTTTTTCAATTGCGCTTCAGTTTCTCGTTAAATTGGAAAAATGTACAAATTGGGCACAAAAATTGGAAGTATTAACCAATGAAGTACCCGCTGATATGAATGTCACACCAGATGATCAAAGAAATGTTTGTACATCTGTTTACAATCGAATATTAGCATTGCAGTCTTATAATTATGCAACTTTAGCACCTATTAGATCTCCAATTATTCTTCTCAAGCCAGCGCAGCCAACTCTTCGTGAAATTGCTGATGATTATGGTCTTCGAACGGTACAAATTTTACTTTTAAATCAATTTATTTTCAATTAACTATTTTTTTCAGTTAAATAAAATAATAATATAATGAGATTTACAATAAAAACATTATTTTCAGATAACACGAGATAAAGTAGAGATATATACGTTAGAAGGAAATCATGTTACATTATTAGAAAACGATAAAGTAGCTTCAGCAATCAATGGAGAACCTTTAGAAGATGCAGAATCATTTAAAGCAAGCATAATGGATGACTCAAGTACTGTGAGAACTTCGATAATAAGTGACAAACATAATAGAACCTAGACACATTAAAAAAAAATTTTTTTAATCGAGTTATTTCACTTTTAATAAAAAAAATCTGCATAGATTTTAAATTTTATTCATATTATAATTTTTAAATTTACGGGTTCAATCTAATGGTGCTTAATGTAAATCTCATTAAGATATTGTTCAAATTTACTATCAATCAAGTAAATAGTTCATTCATAACTTATCACAGATAGAAGGAAAGATTATTTCTTTTCTATTAGAATATTTTTTTTACTGATAATAAAAAATTCGTTTACTTGTTTGAAAATTCACATGGTGAAGTTGTAAAGAGTTCTAAAAAATATAAAATCATTTATTAAAATTGTTTTATCTTTTTAAAAAATGCATTTCCTTAAATTTAAAAATTTGAATGGAAAAAAAAGTTCATTTTTGTCAGATATTCTTTCGAAAAGAAAAGTTGTGGAAAAACTTAAAATATTAAAAGCAAAACAAAAATTCGAAGAAAATTGAAAAATTAAGAAGATAATTCATACTTTATTTTACAATCTTCATACATACATAATAATTATGAATATGTGTAATGTAATGTGTATATGATGCTAATGTTTACTATATTTGTAAGTTTAATATTACATGATCTTTCACAATTGTCATTTTTACCATTTACATTCTTACTTATGAAAAAAAAAACTCTTCATTCAATTTTTTCGAGTTAAAAAAATATACATTTATTATTATAATGGTAGTAAAGAAGCAAAAATAATTTGTCAATTATAAATCAATTTTTTTGCATTATAAAAAGCAATTTTTATCTCAATAAACTCTTTAAACATTTTATATTCAATGAAAAACTAAAATAAATTTTTAATAAAAATTATGAATATCGAAAAAGAAAACAAAACATTTTTAATATAAAAGAAAAATCACGAACGTTTGCTAAGAAAAACAATCTTAATGTGTGCTTTCAAATCTTATAAATCCATTGGTTCGTAAGTGGATATAAATTGATTTTGAAATACTTGGTTTAAGTCGTGCCCTGTCTCGTTATTATTATTACCTTCTTCATCGGACATGGCATTATTGTTGTTATTATTATTATTATTAGATGCATTAGGAATTGGTGTTGATGTATTTCTAGGAGTATGCAAAATTCTCAGATGTTTATTTGGTGGTTCCCAGAGAACTAAAGCCATGGTGGGCCTTTCCCTGAAAGAGAGAATCTATCCAGTTGTTCGTTTCATTGTCTAATATAACTGGTTTAATTATTAAAATTTTTAAAAATATATCTAACTTACAGTTTTGACAATATTGATGACGGTATAATAGGCTCTTCTTGTAATCTTTTAAGTTCCTCGGATAAAATTAATTTTGCTTGAGGTTTTATTTTCTTTTCAAAATCAATTAGATTTGAACTGTCCATTTCTAAATCTCCTTGTGAATTAAATTGATTACAAGATTGATTTAATTCTGTAGAGTTGTGTGAAATGTGTAACTGTTGAAAATGAGCTGCCATTTTTTCTTCACTTATATGTTGCTTTGAAGGTCTACTAAAATTAATAAAAACAACACAAAAAAAAAGTATTAGTATTTCTAATTAGATAAATTGAATTTAATGCAAATTTTTAGATTTTATACACTGAAAATAGTAATAAAAAAAAGTGTATACTTACGTGTCAACTAGATCTGGCATTTCAAGTTTTCTTTTCTGATGCAAAAATAATGGAGCTTTTGATTGAGGATTTTCGCCGGTAAATCGAACCAAATCTGGTTGCTGAAGTGCTGGAATACTCCATGGCATTGAAGGCTGAGGAATCTGAGGTACCTGTAACCATTGTTCAGGTTCTTGAGGTACATTTTGCTGTCCTATCATGTGTTTAAATACAGATTGTGGAGTGTGAAGATGAGCACCACCCATGATATTTTTAAAACTTTTTAAAAATATTCGTCAACACATACAACAAAGCCTGTAAATATTCAATTCGTTTGTTTATGTAAAATTTTTTTAATTTTGTAAACTATTTAGAAAATTATGTTTTTCAAATATTATTATGAATGCAAAATTTTATAACTTACTAAATACCAAGCAAATATAATATTATTTTTTTATTATAAAGTCTAAGACGATATAATAAAATATTCTAGAAATTTCTTTTTCTGGAATTTTCGTACTCCTTAATCACAGAAACCACAGAAACGCACCAAAGTAGATAAAGTTTTCTTTCAAAAATATATGTGTTATTTTTAATGTTTCTTTCCTTTATAATTTGAATGTCAAATTACACAGTTAATAATATTCTGCCTTTAAATAAACTGTAAATAACTGTTTACAACTGTTCATCAATTTAACAACACCATAGACATACAAGAATCGACTGCGCGAGTTTCATGATTCGCATGAGAGGGAGCAAGCATGCACTTTAAAAAGAGATAGGTAGAGCGCAGGATCCTATTTTTTTACCTTTTGAAGAGTACAAGGACTATGCTTATTACAACAATTATGTTTTCTTGGCATTGTGCGATTTTTTATTTTCTTGACAATAATTAAAAAATTATTTTAAATAAAAATAAACAATACATCTTTTACATCTTAAAAATATCCCTAACGCGCATGCGTCGTACGAAAATGGCAGATAGAGTATATTTCATACAGAAGGGAAACTCATAAACAACACTTAGTTAAGAGATTTACCGCTAGAGTGCAATCACAAAATGTCCAGATCACTCCGGAAGCACTTGCCGAAATCACTTGTGTATGTACATCTGTTCAGAATACTTGTCCTTCGTACTTTAGAGACAAAATTTAAAATCAAAATTTCATTAGTATTAAAATTTGTATTGTACGTTTCTTTAACTTTTTTTTTTTTATTTATTTACAGGGCTAAAAGATAGAATAATAATGTCATCTCAGGAAAAAAGACCAAAAATACTAATCCTTTCAGCGTGTCAACCTTATTTCTCAACTCAGGTAAATATATAGAGAAAATTGTTATTATTATTTTAATTATTTATTTATTAATTACATAGTTCATAATTTTATATTGTTAGTTAATTAATATTTATAAAAGAAACTGGGAATAAGAAATGGTTAACTTTTTATAAAATTAACCTAAAAAATAATTGAATTAATATCTTAAAAATTTAGTGATTGCATATTTCAAATCTTAAATAATATAAAATTTTTATTTTATTAATAATTAATATAAATATTTTGAAAAAAGAAATCAATAAAAAATAAATATTAGGCTTTTGTTCAAAGAAAATTTTTGTTATATTGGTAGAAGTGAAAAGTTTAGTTTTTTGTTATCTTGGGTTGGCATTACGCCTCATTGCAAATGGCGTCGTCAGAAAGTAGAAGAAACCCATGTCGTTCGTCAAAATTTAATCTCGTGGTATTACAATCATCATAGCGTAAGTTATATATATTTTGTGATAATTAGGTTAAGTATTATATGAATAATTGAAAACGTATGAAAGTTTCGTTGCAGCTATAAAGAAAAATAATAAATTCAGGTAAAATATTTTCGACCAAAAACATAACCTAAAAAATTTTGACATTAAAACTTGTTGCGACTTGTTGAATGTATTGTGACTTCACAATACCGACGCTAGGTGGCATTCTTGCACGATATTTGAATTATTTTTTTAAACTGATATAAAAAAATTATTAAAAACTAAATTTATTAATAATTATTAGATTATTAGTTTAATAATTATTAATAAAATTAAAAATAAATAAAAAAGAAGGTTATTACATTTGAAAAAAGTAGTTAAAAAAAAATTTAATTATGTTGGTAGAAGTTTAATTGGTAGGTAATTTTTTTCGTTCAAGTTGGTATCATTGCTCACTATAGTAGACATTGTAAAAAAAAGCGGTTGAAAGTGCCAGAAAATTTTGTGAATAAGAAAGAACATCGTTTAATCTTAATACAAATTAAAAGTATATTTTAATAATTATATTCAGTGTGATATAAATTTTCCAGATTTCAACTAATTTTTGTTGGTAAATATCAGAATTTTTAATATTTTGTCATATTTGATGACGCTTTGCTATTTAACCTAAAAATTACTACACAACCATTTTCGTATTTCTATCCTACATCGATTCAGATACTTGTCCTTCGTACTTTAGAGACAAAATTTAAAAGCAAAATTTCATTAATATTAAAATTTGTATTGTATATTTATTTAACTTTTGTTTTTTTATTTACAGGGCCAAAAAATATAATATTAATGACATCTCAGGAAAAAAGGCCAAAAATACTAATCCTTTCGGCATATTAACCCTTCTCAACTCAGGTGAATATATTTATTTATAAAAACAAAGATTTTACAGAATTTTTAAACATTTTTTGTTCTAAAAATTATATTTTGCATTTTATTAGCAATTTTTTGCATTACACAGTTTTTTTAACATAATTATCAATTTTCTATTTATAAATATTATAATGAATTATTTTATTGTTTTCGTTTTTATATGTACACTGTAAAAAAATATTTTGTTTAATTTACAGTTTAGAATTGTAAATTTACAGAAATCTGTAATATAACATTTTTAAAAGTTGACAATTTACACAATTTACTGTAAACTTAATACTTTGAAAGTAGCAGTTTTACATTAAAGTATTAAGTTTACAGTAAATTACGTAAATTCTCATTATTTAAAGATGTATAATTACAGATTTTTTTAAATTAACAATTCGAAACTGTAAATCAGGCAATTTTTTTTACGGTGTACATATGTAAAAATTGAAACTTCTTTCAATATTTGATAAAATTATTTAATATCTTTTTTTAAAAATAAAGTCTCCTCGATTTTTATTTAGACAATTTTTGTTTATTATTTGTCTTTACAGAATTCAGACGAGGAGAAAAATTGGATGAGATTTCCATAAGTGAGATGACAATGGCAGTTTCTACTAAATCTACGAACAAGTAAGTCTCTTTTATCTTTTTTTTTTTGTTTACTTTTCTTAGCGCAGAAATTTCCTTTCCTTGATAGAGAAAATTATTATTTAACTTAATTATTAATTAATTACATAGTTCAATAATTTCATATTGTTAATTAATTAATATTTATAAAAAAACGAAGAATAAGAAGTGATGTAAATTTTTTTATTAAAACCTATGAAATAATTAAATTAATTTTTTCTTAAAAATTTTATTTTAAATTTTTGAATAAAATTGTTTTTTTTTTCTCAATTTATAGGTGTCAAATCATGAAGGATGGGTGTTTGTTGCGGAGCTGCTCCTGGAGGAGATCTGGCATTGCTGAGTCGCAGTTCAATGTAAGTTGTTAAATTTTTTCTCTTAATTTATGTATATTTTACTGATGAATGTTATTAATAAAATTAATTTGTTTAAATGTTTAGAAATAATATTATGTATAATTAAAATTTATTTTAGTATTTGTAAATGACCATTAGTACAATATTAAATGTTAACATTTATAAATATTGTCATATTTAAAAGAATATTAATAATCATTAGAGTAATCTAATAATTGACAATATTCAGTATTTTTTTATTTTATTTAACAGATATATAATATAATGAATTAATTTTTTTAGGCAGTTGGTCCAGTAGCAGGAAGATTTAGCAGTCATCGTACCTTTAACACGTCGCGATAAATCGCAAATTGTAAGTATTCCTTTTCATTGGTTAATTTTGAACAAAGTAAAATTTTAAAAATTATAAATAATGATAATAAATAGATATTATTAAAAATATTCTTTTTTAATAATATGCTAGTTAAATATAGTTTTCAATACTTTAAAATCTTTTTAGAAATATTAATTGTGATAAAAAGAAACAAAATTAATTGATTGATGATTTTATTAATTATTTTAAATAAATAATTTTGGGATAAATTGTAATAATTAACTGTACAATCAAATTAAGAATCCTTTATTTTACATATAACATGTTTTTTTTTTTTTTTGTTTTCAGTCTATTCCAGGGAAGAAACTTTCATCTATTGAAAGAGATAGAGAGAGTATGGTGTCATCATATCTTTAACACGACGAAAAAATTCGCAATAGGTAAGTTGGTTAATTTTACACATTATTACCAGAACAATAATAATAATAAGTTATTTAAGTTTTAATTAATTTTTATTGTTTCAGTGTTTTTCAGTCCATGTCCAAAAAAAACAACCTGAAGGACAGGAAGGATGTGGAAGAAGAAAAGTGGTCCCTGCATACTTTTTTTTATAAAATTTTTTGTTTTCTTTTTTCTTTTTTTTTATAAGATTTTTTTTAACGCTCCCGGCCTCGCGCAGAAGTGCGCGCAAGAAAGAGGGATCCTCGGGAGCAGGCCTGAAGCGCTCGAGAAGTGGCGATGTAACTTTTGCCCCGACGTGGGATTCGCCGATCGGTGAGTCGATTTTTATTTAACTCCTTCCCTGTTTAAAACAGTTATGTTTTTTATCAATTTAATTAAAATAGATTCATAAATTGAACATTAATTTATTTAGACATTTTTTGTTTATAAATGTTTGAATTTCTTTGACTTTTAAAAAAAATAAATAATATATCATATTGATTGAAATGAAATATTAAAATTAAAAAATAAACAGGGAAGGAAATATGACAACATAGTGACAGCATTGACAAAATTATTATTTTCTGGTCATTTTTAGGGGTAATCTAAAATAAGCATATGATATTTTCGGAAATTTTTGTCCCCTCAAAATTTCTAATACTCCCTACATCCTAAAATATTACATGTTTTGTTGATTGCTACCTTAATACTAAGTAAATTAATATTATTGTCAATGTTTCTTTTCATTGTTTATATAATATGTATGTTATTTATTTACTGTGTGTTCAATATTTTTAAACTTTCTTAATTTTTCTTATTGAGTCAAAGTAATTTTCTTTCTATAAAAAAGTAATTTAAACTAAATTTAAAAAATTTTATTAACTTTAAATAATTTAATAAATTAATTTTATTAACAATTTTTCAATTTTTCAAAGTAAATTTTATTTTCAAAAGTTCAAAGTTAATGCATGTGGAATTAAAAATTAAAAGTTTTTGATAATTTTTTAATGATTGACTTATTTAATTTTTTTCTTTTCAGAAGAAATCGCTCAGGTGACGGTTGCGTCCCGGGACGTTAACCCTAGTATAGGTCATTTTGCACCTGGGCGGTATTAGTTTCGTTTCGAATATATCTTTAGGTATATATAGGGAATTGGGGAAAAGTAGTGAAGAAATTTTTTTCCTTTTAAATATAGCTGTAGGCAGGAAAATCGGGAAAAGTAGGCAAACATTTTTCTTTCGTTTTAAATATAGCTGTAGGTAGGTAAATCGGTTAAAAAAAATATGTAAGTAAAAAATAAGTAACTGGAGTACCAGTGAAAATTTACTTTATTTTAATCTTTAATTTTTTTGTCACTATGTTGTCTTTTATATTTTAATGTTTGTTAATGTTTTGTAAGTGTCTTGTAAATGTTTTGTGCATGTTTTGTTTAATTGTTCATTATTTTCAGATGAATCAACGTGGTGAGCAAATAATATTTCTTTTCAATTTTGATAATCATTTATTTTTTCAGGAATATGTAATTTTTTATATTCTTAAACTATTAATCAATTAATCTATATTTATCATATATATGAAAATTTTATTACTATTACAAAAAATTTAATTATTTTCTACTATCTCTACTCAAACTAGTTAATATTTTAATTAATTTGATTTTTTTTACACTTTTAGTATAAATTGAAATTAAATTATACAAAAATATTAATTATTTGATAACATAAAGAACACATACAATTTTAAATTGAATTTAAATTACAAATTTTTATATTTCTCTTCCTTTAAAAATTTTTCGGGTACTTTTTTTTATTGGAAATTTTATTATTCAGCATTGCGATTGTTTAAATCACAGCTGTTTTATTTACACATTTTAAAATTATTTTTTAAATATTTTTAAAAAATACAATGTAATGAAGTATAAATTAATTGAATGTTTATTATATATATAATTTATTTATCATTTAGTTCATACCATTGTATTTTTCGGAAAAAATTTAAAAAATATAATTTTAAATTTTCCGCCAAAAAAGAAAACCTCATTTCTTGGACGCGCGCGCGCATAGACATGTTGACATTCATGTCAACAATTTTATCCATTCCAAAGAGACAATAATAAATAATGAAATGTTTTCCATTCAGCAAAAACTGATTTTACAATTATTATTTACAAGTTTAATAGGAATTACTTCCTATATCGGTGATAGATTATTGCAACAAAAAAGTGAAATTTTACGTGCTGTTTCTGATAATTTCACACATGCAACTGTCAGTGGTCTCACGTGGTCATTAATTTTAATAATATCAAAAAAATCTGTGTTGAAAAATATTTCAAAAGTGTTTTTGTGTTTTTTCATTGCATCATTTGTTGACGTTGATCATTTTTTAATTGCAATTAGTTGGAGGTTACAAGTAAGTATAGAAATACAAGTATTGTTTACATATTTTATAATTAATAATATGATAATAAAATTAGTTAATATAATTGCTTTCTTATGAAGGAAGTATATTTATTAATAAATGTATATAGTAATTATTTTCTTTTTTTTTGCAGGATGCTATGCACTTACAAAAACGAGGATTTCTTCATTGTTCAACAATACCAATTATGACGTGGCTTTTTCTTCTAATATATTCAAAGATGCTGAATCAACCAAATATTAGTGATTATGGATGGATAATTTTATCGAGTTTCTTGAGCCATCATATAAGGGATGCTAATAGAAGAGGATTATGGTTTTGTCCATTTGGATCAACACGTCCAATTCCTTATTATTTCTATTTGAGTTTAAGTATGGCATTTCCTTATTTTATAGAATTTTGCATGTCATTATTAGACACTCAACAATTGAGTGAAAAAAGAATTTACAACACTCCATATGTTATTTAAAGAGAAATACTTGATTAAAATTTTTATAATCAAGTTACGTGGCTTATTATTATTATCTGATAATATAATATAAAAATGTTTCATTATAAATTTTATAAAGAAACATTTTTCAATTGTTGAATAATTTTCGGTATGTTTAAATAATATTTTTAGTTTTTTTAAAAAAAAGTTTTTTTTTTTTTTTATTTTAGTAGAGTAAAGATATGTAAATGATTATACGAATGAATGTTATCTTGATGAAGTGTTATATAATTATGCCTGTTTGTTCCGGTAGTTAATGTCTATTTTCGTGAAAAAGGAAACAGAGATCACTTTTCTTACAGAAAACATTGTTGTAACATCAATGTGGTTATTTATATAGGTGTGCCTCTCACATTTTTATTGTATATAATTTTTATATATTCATACATATACGCGCCAAGGATAAATCCTCAAACGGGGGTATTCCTTTCATATTTATATTACTTCATCTAATAATCAATTTTAACGCCAGGACAATTATTAGAGATTTACTTGAAATTTCTTTCTTTGTTCTTTTTGGTATTTAAAAAAAACACACAAAAATCAAATTTTCCAATTTATTTGAAAAAGAAATATATTTTGAAAAAAAATTATGCAAAATTAATTTATTATTTAAAAAATTCTGTCTTTTATAAAAAGAATAATTTTATTTTCAAAGCAACGTTACAAGTTTTCTTTAAAAACAATTTGTTTTATAAATAACAATGAACTGTGATATAAAAAAGTGCCTTTTATTTATTTTTTTTAACAGTAAATATACATTTTGTATTTAAGTATTAGTGTATATAATGTTTGCAAAAATGCATTGTTATGAAGAAAATAAGGAAACGAAAAATTAATATTGTAACAATAAAATAAAATAAAAAAAAAAAAAAATAGAATCATGTAAAAAATTCAGTGGTTTTTCTTGATCGATGAACATTTTTTTTTTTTTAAATATTGCGGAGTATAAGGAGAGTAATAATTTTTTTTTCCAATCATTCATTGAGAAATAAAACTAGTAATTAACAAATGTATAGAAAAAAGGATGTTTACATAAAAGTGTGACGATCACTATAAATTAGTGAAACATCTGCGCTATTAAATTTGTTAAGTTTTATGTTCATTAGATAGAGGATATATATTTGATTTAATATGAGAACTTATATAGATTGGTATGTGATGCATTATAAGACAAATACAATTTAAAAATGCACACTTACACTACTCTCCAAGGCTGTGGAGTTATCAGCATTCAACAATTGCTTAGCTGGCTGCCTCACACACATTTTATATACCTTGTCCACTTTAGTATACTCTAAACCAGCCACCTGTACTGTGTATATTATCCTGAGTGCGCTCTTCAACTTGAAAGTGAGTTTTTTTTTCTTGCCCCAAATTAGGTACAAATAATGAATTTTATAATTATCTTATTATTTTTATATAATTGAATTTGAAAAAGTTTTTTTTTTTTATTTTTTTGATACAAAAAAAAAAAAAAAAATTGGAAAAAATAGAAAATTATTTTAAAAAAAAATGCTAAAAAATTTTTTATACAAATATTATGTAATTAAAAAAAATTTATTTCATTTAATTTTAATGGATTATTATTAACTTTATTATTTTTCTTTTCAGTTTATTATTTTTTTTACAATTGATAATATGGAAGTATGTGAATATTGAAATTTTTAAAGGAATTAAAAATTTTTAAGCAAAAAAAATAAGTTGTAATACTTATTATAGTAAAATAGTTTTTCGATCTCAGACTTATCATGATAGCTTCTGGATTAATCATTTAAAAAAATTTGAAATCAACAGAAACTGTATCGATAAATATTCTCTGATATGGTGAGTTTTCTTTAATTTTATCAAAATTAATTATTTTAAATTTTTTTATTCTGATACCAAATTGAATTAATTTTACCGTACGCATTATTATTTTTATTACCTATTGTTGTTATTATTGTTATTATTATTACTATTATTATTATTATTACTATTATTATTATTATTATTATTATTTTACTATTATTATTATTTAATAAATAGTAATTAATTTAATTACTTAAAATCAAATGAAAAAAATTGAAATGATTTTAGAAAAATTTTTTTTTTTTAGTTAATTTACTAGAGGTAAAATAATATAATTGAAATTCTATAATTACACTGTGACAAACTGCAAAGGTATAAAATTATATACGTTCAGCGATAATTTGCAAAGAATATCTCTTTTGATTAAAGTTTTGATAAAGCGCATTAACATATATGTGTTTCATTGTTTTTCTCTAAGAACAATAAATTGACGATTTATCCTCTTTGCTATTAGAGAATTATGTTATCTTAAGTTTCATCTTCGTTTTTATAAAATTAATTTTATTTTATATAAACAAAATAAAAAAATAATAATGATAATGCGAAGGAATGTACATTTATTTATTTAGACAAACTAGACGGGCTAAAAGTAAATAATTAAAAATTCTTTAAAATGTAATTTTATAGTCATTATAAATTGAAAAATATATTACAAACGATGACACACACAAATTGTTTGTGAGATAAATAAAATTGGAAATTAATTGACTGTTTTGAAATTTTAAGAAATTGAACAATCATTGATATATTTTTTTATTGGTTAAATATTATTAATAATAATAATATTAATAATAATAATAATAATAATTATAATAATAATAATAATAATAATAATAATAATAATAATAATAATTTAATTTACAGTAATGTAATAATTAGTGAATTCTATAATATTTAATGTGACATTGAATTTTATTGTTATATATACTTTATTTCTATCGTTATAAATTATATGTTCAGATAAATTTAATGTAAACCACATATTTATTATATGTAGAAAAAAAAATGACCGAGAACTTATTATAATTGCTTTTTTCCTTGAATTTAACGTTTCTATGTAGAGGTTAAAAAAAATTCTGGTTTTAATTTTCTAATTCTATACTAATTTCTCTCTTTTTGCTTCGATATACTTTAATAAAAAAAATATATGATTTTTGATTTAAATATTAAATTTACTTAATTTTAAAAAATAAATATTCTTTTCAGGAGACGCTTGAGGATTTATCTCTTTATTTCTACATTGCTTGTGGAATTGCAGCCATTGGTTTTTTAATACTTTTCATTCTAGTTTCTATTCTATTTGTTAAAGTGAAACGAGTCGCTGCTAATGAGTAAGTAAAATAATATTTTGTTATTCATTTTTATTTATAACTATTTTTATCGTTATTATTTTCCGCACATATTTTTTTTCTCTTTTATAGTTTAGATATATATTTTTTTTACATAAAATTTTAAATTAAAAAAAAAAAACAAATATTAAAAAAAATTCAGTAAAATAATTAATATTTTTTGTATTGTGATGAGAATAAAATTAAATTTTAATTACAATTAAATAAACTAATGTATTAACTATGTAATGGTATATTCTGATAAGAAAGGAAATTATAGCTTCTACATGTTAAATTCATATTAAAGTCGAATAATTCTTTATAAAGTGACGACATTGTTGATAACGTATCTTTATTGCAAAGGTAAAATTGAGAGTAAATTCATATCTTTAAAAAGTGTACCAATGTTTATTGACTTAATCATAATGGAACTTGTAGAAGAAATTTTATTATATGAAGGACTTAAATTTCACTTGAACTCTTTTTCTGCCTTTGACCCACTAATAAATTTTAAATTTTACCAACGTAAAATAAAAAAATAATTATTAATAGTTATAAAATAATAATAATTATTATTATTATAAATTAGGTACGTTAATTAATTTGCAATAATAATTTTTTGTTTCAGATCAAATCAATTGAATAGACAAGTAAATATGATGTCTGATTTTTGTTACACAAATCCAACAATTGTCCCGGGAGAAGAATTATCGCGACGGGGATTTTCAATGTACAGTGGTGCTGATCATTTTAGTGAAGATTTTTCGAAAAATAAATATACTACGGGTATGTATATGCAAGAAAATAGATCGAAATTTTGATAATTTAAGTATTTTTTAAATAATACATTCATTAGGCATTATTTTATTGAAAAAAAAATAGAAAACAACAATTATAAATAAAAAATAATTATAATTGTAAAATTTGAGAAAAAAAAAATTAATTTAAAAAATTGCGCAATTATTTCTTACAATGATAATGAGATTATCGAGCGATTTTGTATAGAAAGAAGTTCTCCTTGCCATTCAAAGATGTCACTACTGTTTAGAAATTTTAAACATATAATTTTTTTTTAAATTTTCCAATTTTTCTAATTTTAGATATTTTAAATTAACAAAAAAAATTCAATTAATAAAATTTATAATTTTTTTTTCCTGATAAAATTAATAATTTATAAATTCTTTTTGGTAAAAAAAAATTGTTTACCTAAATTATTTTGAAATTCAAATTCATTAAGAAAATAACGAACAAAAATTAATTTTTGTCAATTTTCTTTAAAATAACTTAAAAATTTCAATAAAAGAAAATATTTAATTTTATATGAATGAAAACATCTTTTTGAAAAATGAAAAGACTTGTACTATAATTAACTTTGTAAGTACATATATATAATGTATAAAAATTGATAATATTTTATGAGCATTATGATCACTGTTAGATATAGATAAACGTTTTTTTAAAAAGAAAAATATATTAGATACATTTCTCTGACCTACATATTACTATATTTTAATTTCTAAATTAAATCTTTTCAATTTTTATTGAATTATCATCACAGAAAATTAAAAGGCATTAAAATAAGCTATTATTTTAATTCAATTTTGCTTATTTTAATCCACTTTGGTATTAAAATAAGCAAAATTGGATTAAAATAATAAGCATTGCAGCTTATTTTAATACCTTATAATTTTCTGTGATAATATTATTATTGGTATTTAACAACCTCCACTTAAACCAAAGACATAATTATATAATAACAATTTTATTATATATTTTGAAATGATTATAATATAATTAATAAATATGTAATTAATTTTACGAATGTTATTAAATAAAGAAAAAAAATATTTATTTTTAAATAAACTTTCCTGTATCCTTTAAAATTAGAAAAAAAATATATTTAAAATGAAATAAAATTTTATTAAACACGCAAAAAAATCGTTATCTAGAACAGCGATATGTTTCACTAAAACAGCGAAAGTTTTTGCTATTTTAGAGAAATATATCGCTATTCCAAAAAAACTTATATCGCTACTGTTCCAGGCGAAGATTTTTTTTTTGCGTGCGTATAATTATTAAATTACTTTTTACGAATGATCATTATAAATAATTATAATTATTATATTATAATTATAATTATAATAAATTATAATAAAATATAAGATAAAAATTTCGATCAATTATTTGCTGCTCAAATTGCGGTAAAATGAGATTCATCGATATATACATTTTAAGTAAATATATATAGAGAGAGAGAGAAAAAAAATCATGCCCGATTTATTGAGGAAGCTTAACTTTCGAAGAGTAATGTAATTTGTCCTGTGTGCGGAGGAGAAAATACATTAGATTATCTAAACGGTATGTCAGTGATTGTTGGTGATAGAGAAACAGAGAAAATGAGAGAGAGCGAGAGTGAGAGAGAGAGTTTATATAGGATGATCGTATATATAGGTTATATATAACAGAAGAGGATAGGCTCGTAATTGGTATAAAATCATCGGGCACAAATACATTGGACAAGACAGACTATAGGGGGTTGTGGGCGGTGTTACGTGCCGTTACCATAGTAACATTGAATCCTACTAAAGCACCCCCTTGCGCCTTGATTGCGCACACACATTCATCCCCCTTTTGTACAGAGAACCAAATTCACCACATGAACACGCCTCCTTTTTCATGTACAATATATATATATGTATATAAAATATATACGGATAAACATATTATATATATGTGTCATATACACATATATATGTGTATTATAATCAGCCTTGTATACACGCGATAGACATTCCATTTTATCACAAAAAAAAACTAAAATTGCCACTCATATCAATCATGAAACAAAGCAGAAATATTTGTAACTTATATTCAATTCGATCAATAATTTCAAATTTTTTATCTTTTTTTTTGGTCATTTCCTGTCTGACTATAAAATTGACCCAAAATTATACAAGAATTTGAAAAGACTGACAATTATTTTTTACAACTATATATATATATAAGAATTATAAACATTTTGTGACTGACTAAAATTTACTTTTATTACTGATAGCAAAATTACTGAAAAAAAAAATGTCTGACTGTAATTGACTTTCACTACTGCGAAACCAAATAATTTACAATTTGACAATTATTAGTAGCAATTTTGTCTGACTGAAATTTATTTTTATTACTGCTACAAAAATTATTTTAACAATTAGAATAATATTTAAAATTTTGTCTGGCTGAAATTGACTTGTACTACTGAAATTATATTTACAATAATTACAATATATATATATATGTGTGATACAAAACTTACAAAAATATTAAAACTAAAATTACAATAAGAATTTAAACAATTGAGTCTGACTAAAATTTGCTTTGACTACTGAAATTGTATAATTAAAATATTAACATTTATACTCTGTAACAAAATTTTTAATTTTTGTGTCTGACTAAAACTTACTTTTACTACTGCAATACAATAATTACAAAATGACTTGAAAATTGTCTAATATAATACGAATAGTTTTTTTCATTAAAAATAATTAAGAAATAAAAATTTGGTAAGTCTGACTAAAACTGACTCATACTACTGATTTAATAAAATGTTTATAATGTTTTTTTTTTGTTTTTCTTGTATATATGTATCAAATCTTATCAATAGGACAATTTTCTTCTGAAATTATATAATAGCAGTATATAAATATACATGCAAACAAAATTTCCCGATATAATTAATATTTTTATAGTGCACGCAACCTGACGAGTGTTTTCTTAAGGGATCATCTTCATTTACTGCCCGAATATACATTGATTCCATTTAATCGCATCAGATTATGGGTAATATTCGTATTATTTGTCGAGTGCGGTACATATGTTATTTTAAGAGATATAACAAGAGGGTGACCATAAACTATAAGCATCTATCTATATAGGTATATAAATTTATAGTATTGAGATTAATTTCAATAATTTTTATTTGGTCTTAAAAAAAATTATTTTAATTACTTTATTATTTATGTTGTATATTTATAATATAAAGTTTTATTTACTTTTCAATCTCATAAAATTATTTATATTTTACTCTCTACGAATTAGTGAATATTTTAACTAATTTAAATTAGTAACTTACTTTTTGTTTTTTAATTAGTAAAATTAACTAATTAACAGTAAATAAAAAAAATTACTATCGAATCAGTATTATAATTCCAAAGCAAAAAAAGTATAAGTAACTTATTCAAATTAGTTAAGATTTTTATTAATTTAGATTTAGATAGTAAATTTAGATTATAATTAATAGAGTGCTTTTTATAAAATAAATATGCTAAATAAGAATTACAGGTTCAAAATAAAGATAAGACCAAATGAAAATTATGTCAAATATAATAGTTAGGCCCAATAAAAATAAGATATCAAATAAAAATTAAGTCAAATAATTTATGCGCGCCCCTCAAAATAAAAAATTTACTTCCAATATAAAAAAAATTTGCAAAAACAAAACTTTCTTTTTGAAAAACAAAATATAATTGTCATATAATAATGAGACCATATATAACAATAAAGCCAGCAGAGCCTGAGAATAAAAAATATGATCCTTTTTTTTAGGTAAAGGGATATATGTATAGAAAAAGGGGGTTTGGGGGGGGGGTACATTTAATTGACACTGGAAGGAACAATAAATGAGTTGGAAATGTGACTATGATTCCCTGATATGTATATAAAAACCTCAGGGCGTGTGTTTCTCGGCATGGGGTTTGTTTCGCGAAAGGCCACGTGGCCCCCATTATAATCGTTGACTAAAAGACAGGTTTCACTGTATAGTACAAATCGATTATTTTTTTTTTTTTTTAATTATTATTTTTATTATTATTTTTTTTTATTATTTTTTATTATTTTTCTTTTTATTATTATTTTTATTATTTTTTTTTTTTGTATTTTCTGTAACGTTATAATAGTAACCAAGTCATCAAAAGTTTTAAAAGCCTCTATATTACATCCCTTACAAGACTGACTGATCGCTCAAGGGAGATGAACGCGTGTCTCTCATTAAAATTCTTTACCCAATGCATGATTCCGTGAAATTGTGCAATCACTTGTTAGGAGAACGATATGTAGTTTGAAAATTTTGAGAACAAAGCGTTTTGACATATTGGACCACCTGATGGGTCACATCAACTATATATATATATAATATATAGTCTTTAGCTTTGATTTTTTTTTCTCAAAGATTTTTTTATAAAATAATTGTCAAAATAACATTTCATTTTTATTCCCTTCTATTTTTAAAAATATTATCTATTATCTATCTATCAATAATATGAATATTATTTTCCATTTTTTTTTTTATTGAAAATATTTCATTGTTAATTTTTATTTTTTTTAAAATTATAATATCAGTAATTTTTTTAAATTAAGATTTTGTTCTATTTTGAATTTATTTTTTATCAAAAGAATAATAGAAATATTTTTTCAAGATAAAGATATGTGTATTGTATATTAGTATGGGGTCCTTTGTTTTTTGGGATAATCATCATCCTCGCTTGCGGAAACATATATATATATATATATTTATAGGAAAATAGTGGGGAAAATTGTATTGTTAATATGACTAAGTAAACAAGAAAGATCAGGTCAGTTTATGGTGAAAGAAATCCGCTTTTAAGGTGTATTGTCAAATCACCTGCGTAAGAATAGTGCTGGGGATTCCCCAATATGACCAAAGAATAAAATCTAAAAATCCCCCCCATAAAGTCAGAGAGAAAGAGAAAGATATTGAGAAGGTCCTATAGCAATAATTTGTCCGCCCAGCAATTGTATTGCAACTGTAAACACACAAAGTACCTGCCACTATACATAAATTTTGCCCTCCTCAACCCCCCCCCCCCAAATATAATAATATAAATAGTTTTAATCCTTCGTTCTGACTTTTCCTGTATATATGTATATATATATACAAATATAATATATATTTTTCGTTCGAATTTATTTCTCTCATGATTTCTCAAAATTGCTAAAACTATAGTTTTAAGATTAATTTTAAGAGGATATATCCTCTTAAAATATCTCATTCTCTTTTAATTAAAGAACAAAAATATATTTTAGGCAATTAATAATAATTTTTAAAATTAAATTTTATTTAGTTATAGTGAAATAATTTAAATTAGACCAAAATTTGTATAAATAGGTTGAAGGTTGAATAAATACTACAGAAATAATTTTTCAGAGGAAAATATGATATATTTTCGGCTTATAGGCACCGTTCTGCTCAGTTTTTTCTTTTTTGTTGTACAATATTTACATATCACAAATTATATTTTGCGATGGCGTAAAATAATATTCGAACTTCACTATGAACGGCACACTCGCGACGATGTATGTTTTAAATATAAATAGTTAATCGAGTATGTTTATTTACCTATGAATCCTATAGGTATGAATAATTTTTATGTGCTTTTTCAGACCTTATTATACAATAAATTTGATAAATAATAAAGATCTAAGAAGATATAATGGATGAAAACTATTTGTTTTTTTTTTATTAATAATTTTCATAACTATTGTTTTATATAGTGCTTGCGGATATTTAAATTATATATAACAAATTGTTTTTATTTTCTCTACACAATACTGCGATTTTAAATATAAAAAAAGGGTGTTTAAAATATAATACAATTTTTTTTTCCACGAATGGCGGATTTCTTTGGTCGGTTGGCATATCAGCACCGGTCAGTCTTCGGGTTTATATCAATTTATTTACAATTATATTGATATTAGCAAAGTATTTCATTTACATACCTCTCGTAGATAAATTTATATTTACACTAGAAAAATTACTATATCGAGAAACCTACTGACTTCGCTTTATGTACACGTATTGAAACAATTAGTTTCATTCATTTATCACTAATATTGTTTGTAACAAAAATTGATTTTTTTTTCTTTTTCTTTTTTTTTTTTTTTTTTTTTTTTTTTTTAATTGAAGCATTCCAAATTTATCACTCTCACGTCCAGCGCGAGTTTAATTTTTCTGTTTTTTTTAGGAGAGAGAGAGAGAACGATAATTAACTTTTCCGATTATTTTAAAAATTCCTAATTATAAAAAAAAACGAAGATTTTTGTTGTTATTTTTCTGCTTTCGTGTAATGCATTTTGTCAATATTAAAAAAATGCCTATCTTTTATATTATTCTTTTGTTCCACGTATATTTGCCTCTTTTGTATAGCGGAGTAGTATAATAAAGTGCGAAGGTATATATAGGCAATAAACGGCCTTTTAAATTCAAAGTGTTAACCCTACCCTTGGGTTTTTCCAGAAAGAGGACTAAGAACTTTGAAAAATCAACTGACCGCTAATCTGACGAAATATACAATATCTTGCGGAAAAATTTCCTTGAATATTTTTCAAACTTAAATCGTATTTAAAAACTAATGATATAATATTAATCAAACTCGTTTAAAAATGTAACAAATTAACTTAAAATTTATTTTACTCCTATTCTATACTTAAATGAATCAATTTTATTGAATAATGTTATTGAAAAAAAAACAGATTAATGAATTTTAATTAAAATAAACGAATCTTAAATTAATCAATTTTACATAAAAATTGTTTAGAAAAAAAATAACAAGTTAAACTAATCGATTTTTAGCTTAATATAATACTCAAGGAAATATATTTATGTCTAAATTAAAAAATATAATATATATATGCCGCAGTAAAAAAATATCTAATGCGTGAAATTTTAGAAAAATTATATATACAGAATAATTTTCAATTTACATTCTGTATGAAAAACAAAAACTCAATTTCTTTTTTTTTTATACAAATATTACATACTTGTCTTTTTGAATATCCAATAAAAAAGAACATTCGAATCCGCAATCAAAAACAGAAACCCAAGTGAATTGAATCAATTTTGAACTGATCCGTATATCGACTTTGTAAATTTCATATATATCGTTCAATTTTTCCCCCATTCCAAGAAAACAGAAAATTTTCTCCAAACGAATTTGCTAGGGAAATTCTCTCTCTTTTTTTTTTTTTTTTTTTTTTTTTTTTGTTATTCGGATCGAGATGAATTTTTGACTCTCCAATTACTCACAAGCCGAATTGTCACATCCGGTAATAGTAAATTTTTCTGCTCCAGCATTATTTCAGCTGGCGAGTGCTAAATGGGCACTTGTACCGATTGTCAGTGTACAAATTGCCGATGTGCTTCATGATGATGATGATGGTGATGATGATGATGATGCGCATGAAGCGTTGATGAATTTGTTGTCATCACGGATGATGGAGATTGTACATTCATTTGTATTGAATTTGGACTGTATTGATGTGAATCAACAATAACACTCGTATAGCCAGGACCAGCATCAATTGGATCAACCTGAATTGCTCTTCTTTTGCTCTGTGGACCAGAATGATGATGAGGATAAGTCTCATAATGTGGAAGATTTGTATTGGAACCAGTGTAACTTGAATTATTATTGGTGACACCACAATTTGGAAACATAACATGATTTGTTTCTAAATTCGTTGACGATGATGTTGATTCCAATAAATGATTATGGTGATGATGATTGTGAGCGTGATGATAGTTGGAGAATGATTGTACACCACGAAGTCCATCCACCATTAAATTAACACCCAATGGACTCGATTGATGACTTTCTGAAGCATCGGAACTTTCACAGGAACTCGAGCATGCCGAATAGGGCCTTTTTCTTGGATTCTGCTGTGGACTGTGCTGATGTGCATTCATTATTGTCGTTGAGGTCTGATGAATTACTGGCTGATGATGCTGTTGCTGCTGTGGTACTGACGAAATTGGCTGTATACCTGGGACAAAAATTTTTACTTCGTTAGAGATTTATAAAATATAGAATCAGAAATAGCGGAATTTCAAAAATTCGGAACATTCGGATTTATAAACTCTTGGGAAAATTCATCAAAAAAAAAAAGAAAATTAATTACCATATTCGTAGGCGTACATGTCGGACGCGTAATAAGACCCCTCCTCGTGTGGTGTGTTGGCTTGTGTAGAATATGGACTGGAGAGATAAGATCCGGGATTAGGAGTACTTCCAATGTATTCCAAACTTGCGTAACCAGAATCAGGATATTCGGAATCGGTTGTTCTGCTACGATACGAAGGACTGAGACTGTGATCATCGTGACCATTGGTACTGACAGTACCAGGTGTCGATACAGTGAGTGGTGCACTCGGTGGATTACCATGAACAGAATTATTCATTTGATTTTGATCCATATTTAAAATCAATTCCTGTCTCTCTGGATTAGAAAGAACATAATTCACCGAAACAATGCATTGTGGTCGCGAACTTCTTTGATTGTTGACAATTGTGATGTAAGATTGCATCCATACCCATCCACCTTCTCTTGTCAAGAACCTGTAGTACCTTGTTGTCACCTGACTTTTCTTTAGAACTGAAATGAAATTGTTTAATTACATTCAAAATCGTTTGTTTTGACTTATAGGATGAAGATTACTATTAGTAGAACTATACTAGAACTATTAATACTGTTAGTACTATTAGTACTATTATATAGTACTATTAAAAACGATGGAATATCATGAAATTTAATGGTTTCTAAAAGCAATATATGTTAAAGAAACCATTATGGAGTAAACTGCTGCTTTTAAAAAGAATAATGCCATATTGAAGAAAAGTGATTTAATAAAGTTGGGGGATTATTTTGCCGGAAAAGCTTAATATTTAAAAAGAACGTAAAATTTCATCGGGCATAGCATTAGTGGTATTATGTCAGGCTCTCTCCCTCTTCGGAGTTACGCCCGTGAAACTGCAAGTCTGTTCAAACAATGATAGCAGTAACAGTCTATGCTTTCTCATTCTCTCTCGCTCGGTTTTCCACACACACACACTCACACAGCCTCTGTTTCCCCCCCATTTTCACATCGCAGCATTGTTTCAATCAATAATATACACACCCTGCTGAATATAATGTACAGTATATGCACATGTTTACAGGTGTATATATATATATATGAACACGTAAAAAGGTGCGAGAAAAAAGTACTTCTTTTTTTTAAGCATCAAAGCGCAAAGAAAAGTTCAAAGAGACTTTTTTTTTATCCCAAATGAGAGGCCTCGTAGCAGTGTCAGCTGGTTTTTGAAGATTTAAGCACTTTTGGTGTCTTTGCTATCTTATTGACTCTGTGGTAATATAATAGGGCTAGTTTTCTTTTTTGTCGTCTTTTATAGAGAGGGGGATTTACTTTCATCTTTTAGATTTTTTTTTTTTTAAAGAATTGATTGAGTTTAGTTTTCTATTGTTGAAAAATATATTTTTTAAAGAGGATTTTTGCGAATTTTTGAAAATTAGTTTTTACTTACGGAGGATGTGAGCATTGGCTAGATCGTGAATATCGTTGGCGTGGATATAATTATACAGCGTTTTGTCAATAAGGTCTGCTGGTTCATATCCGGTTAATTTTGGTACACTGCAATCAAAACAAAATATTACACTTTAGTTTTTACTATATATATTATTAATATATTAATAAACTGTTAATATTTATTATTACCAATATTTGTATAATATACAGTTGTTAATACAAAATACTATAATATTTAGTATTAATAACTGTTAAGTATACTAATATTCTTAGTATTTTGTCCTACAACAGAAAAATGATTTTCCGAAATTTTGACTATACAGATTTAGAGTTTATTCCTTGTTCTGAACACGTGTGCATTTATCTGCCTCTATACAGAAGTAAAAAAAGTCTTTTTCGTAACACGAAACTGATTTTAATGGGTCTAACTTTTTTTTAGTGAAAAAATAATGTTCGTTTAAAAATTCTCTTAATTAATTTAATTTGAAAAATAATTTAAATTAAACAAGAAAGTGTTTGCAATTTTTTTTTTTTCGTAAATTGATAGTGAAAAATTAAGTACATACCTGGAATCGAGGAATATAAGCTTCATATCGAGAGAAGCCCGGAACATAAACATGTTATTGTGCAGTTTAATTTCCGTAATTGCACTAGGTGGCAGTGAATGACCGACGGCTACTAAACCAAAAGTGGGGTAATCGTATTTGTCTTCGTAGTCTGATACAGGGACTGTGCATTGCTTCACTTTGAGGTAGCCCGAACAGTGAATGACCTGAAACACAAAACACACCGGAAACGTTTTATGCGTTCACACTATACACATATTCTTAATAATAATAATAATAATAATAATAATAATAATAAACGAAAGCGAAGATTTGAAAAAAGAACACTAAAACCTCTTCAATCCTCACCAACAAAACTCCTTTTCAAAAGACAAATTAGATTCTTTTTTTTTCTAAACATTATTCTATTAAATATTTTTATTACATTTTTTTGTATCAAAAAAAAAGGAAAAATAATATTCGTGATGTGCAATAACTAATTTAAACTCTAACCGTGTAAATTCACCCCTTTTAAGTTGAAAAGTGTGAAAAAAGAATTTCGGGGGATAAAATATAATTCAATATATGCGCATAATTCAGGTGCGAGTGGAATGTATATAGCTTCTAAGTGCGATACTTGGCGAAAAGAGTATATACGTGCGCGGCAAATTAACAATTCTCGTATATATATATATATATATATATATATATATATATATATATATATATATATATATATATATATATATATATATATATATATATATATATATATATATGTGTGTGTGTGTGTGTAATTGAATAGTCAATGAAGAAAACGCGAAAAAAGCTGCACTTTCAAAGCTCGAGAAATATACATATGAGGGTGCAATTCATCAATCAAATAGGCCTCTTATATATTCGTTTCGAATTTGCGGTGCATCGCGTATATATACATATAAATATTTATATTCCCCGTTATCTATATACATATACATATACAAATAAACCCTTATGCGTTTGCGAACTAATTTTCAAACTTCAAACAAATTTATGCATATATCTGTTGTTATATATGAAAGTTAATTAAAACTTTTATATAAAGAAATTTCGATTCCGCATTTAAAAAAAAAAAAAATAAAGAAAAATTTATTTACGTATAAAGAAATTTTTTATTTGAACCAAATAAATAAAATACTATATAGTATTTTTAAAATACTTTATTTTATTTATTTTGTTTTAAATAAAAAAATTTCTTTGGGTCTAAAAAAAATATTTAAAAATTTGATTACAAATTTAGGAAATTATTCTCTGCACGCTCAATTTGACTTTGAAAAATTTGAGGACAAATTGGAGTTTTACATTTACAGTATGTAGTAAATTGAGGATGAACGCGTGAGTTTTTTGTGTATAAAGCGCATATATATATCAAAGAGGGGTGTTTTGTAGAAAAGCCAACTATATGTTCTGTCTTTGTAGGCACCATAAGTGTCATACAAAAACTAGCTTACAACACCCCTCATCTTATAGCTAACAGCTTATATGGGGTTGAATTCATGACTTTACCTAACATATATATATATATTGGGGTCCTCTTGTGTTGTACGATTTTGTCGAGTTCCCGATCATTAATGCTTTAAATGTGCGGCCTGAACGATTCATATATATATATATTTGCCAAACATTTTCTTAAGAGGGTGCTGACTGATGCCCAAAAAGTGCGCGTCAAAACTACAGCTTCATATTGCAATTGATTTTTCCGTTTTTCGGACATATGGACCTATCCATATAATCAATCCAATTGAAACTTCGGATTAGCATTTATAGGAAGAAAATATCGAAATTTTATACATGTCGTATAAATCTAAGTAAATCGTATAATTTACTGTATTCTCGTATATATATATATATATATATATATATATATATATATATATATATATATATATATATATATATATATATGTCTCAATTTTCTAATATATCAGGAAATTGAAATTAATTGGTGTTTAGATTTATTTCGATTTTAGTTTCTAATTCAAAACACTACCGAATTAATAATAATATTAGTAGAGTGTGTACATAATTGAAAAGTTGGAAAAAAATTTTTTTTTTTTAAATATTCATCAGAAAAAGAAACAAAAAAATATTAATTTTTATATTTTTTTATGGTGTTATAATTCCTAGACAAATAAATTTAATATATGGGAAATTTTGAACCAATACCTGTGGTCGGTTTTTTTTTTTTTTTTGAGACTACGCGCGTGACCAGAACAATGCAACCCCTACTTATAACAGCTAGCATTCGCTTATCTCTCACTTAACATTCAGATTTTTTATTCACTTTTATGATTTCCTGTGTGTGAGCCCAGCCACCTTCATCTTCGATCGCTTCTTTTATATATATATAAGTTTCTGTTTGACATCGATATTGCGTGAATTGTATGGACTTTATAATATACAAAAGCAATATTTATAGTAAATCCTTAATCGTTTTTCATTTTTATGTCCTTAAAATTTTCCATCATTCTCATTGCGGCGTTTTTTAACTTCTCTTTTTTTCTTGGTGCCCCCACACACGATGACGCAATTAATTATCAAACAATATAAATTCAAAAAATAAAAAGAATATACGCATTCAGAAAGAAGGAGAGAAATTATATATATATATATATATATATATATATATATATATATATATATAAAATACAGACAGAGAGGGAAAATAACAAGAAATATATAATAGAAGAAAATAAAGTGTATAATAAAAAGTTATAAAAATGGAGAAAAATACTCAAAATAGAAAAGATGAAAGAGGAATATGTCCGCGTGTATAATAAAATGGAATACACAGAAATAAAATGAGAATATAAAAGCAAAAAAAAGTATTAGGAAAAAGAATAAGAGCATATAAAATATAGAAGATAATAAAAAATATAAAAGATTATATATACATAATATAAAATAAGTGATAATGGAAAAAATAAATTTAATTACCTTCCATCCCTGATTCGTGAGACCTGCATTTCTTTTCGCAAGAACACATTTCATTCTAATGAAAAATGCCCGTTCTATTTCAATTTCACCTCGAACATTTGGAGGTGGTAAATATTCTGGATGTTTATAATATTCCGGTGGTAAAAGTAAAACACGTGCCATTTCTTCTCGATCTTCTTCATGAATGTACTCGAAAATACTGTTTCCGGTTAATTCCACCTGTATCCATAAACAAATAATCCATTAATAAACATTTTTTTTTTTATTACTGACAAATAAAATCAGAAATAAATTATCTAATTATATTAATTAAATTAATATTATTAATAATTATTATTTTGTTAAATACTAATTACTATTTTTAATAATTATTATTAACAATTATTATTATTATTAATAATTATTTTACTGTTTAATAAAAAAAAATAATGAAATGCTAAAATTAGTAAAAATAGATTTTCTTTAGTAAATATATTGTAATTTAAGAATAAAAAAACTCTTTTCTACAGTTTTATTTAATTAATTGATTATTTGAAGATAAAAAAAATGTAAATAAATGAGGGGATATCTCCGACCTGGGACAATCCTAAGTGCACGCTTGCTGTTTCACTAATGTACATAATTTTTCCATCACGTCCCACAACGAATATGAAACCATCCAATGTCTGAAAAGTAAAGGAAAAATTCTATTTTAATTTCTTTTTTTTTTATAAACAAGTAAATTGGATTTAAAAGTTTATCAAATTTTATATTTTTAGGCTTCATTTTCAAAAAAAAAATTTGATTTATTTTCTTACTTGTAAAAGATGAGATCCCAATTCTTTCATATTTGATTCACGAGGAGGAGGTACTGCTCCCCATTCATCTCCCAGGCCTGAAATAAAAAATAATTTTGTCAATAATTAATATGTTTAAAACAAATTTTTAATTTTTTTTTTTTTACTTTTAGAAAATAAAAAAAAAATTTTTTGGAATATTTTTTTGTAAGCGAAGAAATATGCATCTTGAGATATACATATAATGAGGGATCATATATGGAAAATAAAATCATATTTGAAATAGGTACTTGGTTCAACTTATTCTGTGTTTTAATTTGACACTCTTACATGTTACTCGCGTGTTTCGCACTCGACGTGTAACTATAAGCCTCTGTACCAAAGTATTACGTGTTCTTGCATTCATTAAAATCCTACCCTGTATGCCAAAACTTCTACTATTATATGCGTAAAAATGCATTTTTTTTTTTTTTTGCTTGGAGTTAAAAAAATTTTTTAATCAGTTCGCGATTTTTTTCACCTTCCATATTACTATTAGTTACACATTCTATTTAGTATATGGAAATTTAGTCCAAATAAATTTTATTTGATGCAAATGAAACTGGATTATATTTAAATCCAAATAAATTTTAGTGAACTGATGTGTCAAAACTATTTTTTCTAAATTTGATTATAATTTATTTTCGATCATCAAAAGATTATATTTGACTGATGGCATGCGCGCGGTGCTTATATATATAAAATGTTCTCAATAAATCTGTCATCAGTTTTGAATTTCAATTCTAAATTTTATCTTATACCTGTCAATATAGTTATATATATAGATTTTGAATATAGAAAAGAAAACCGCGATTATTTCTCGATACACACCTCTATATTTCGAGATAGGAATCTATTTGTCAGGCAATGGTTTCGTGGCCCATTGAGAGAATGAAAAGGTCGATTTTGGACATGTGAGACGATGTTATGGTTTGTCACGTATTCCAGGGCACAAGTTTTATCCTTTTCTTCACTTCTGTTTCCATCAAAAAATTTATTTTCCTTCTCATAGAGGCGCGTCAATCAATTTCAAATAAAAATTTTTTTTTTTCATCCCTCAAAGTTAACTCACATCGCTCAAATCTTTTGAGTATAATATATATCAAAAAATCATAAAAAATTTTCATAATAGAATATATATATATTTGGTTCAAATAAATTTTTTAAATTCCAAAATTCTGGGATATTTTTTTTTTTGAAGAAGAAATTATTGGGGTTTTTATTTTAAAGAAAAATTTGTCAGCGTTTACGTAATTTTCGATTGATAATATATGTATATATAACGAGAAGGGAAAAAGGATGTATATACTTGTGAAGTGGCTCCATCAGTAAAGGGCTTGGAAGCTTTTTTTTTCTTTTTTTTTTTTAAAAAAAAGAAGAATAAAGACGACGCTCCGTATTCTAGAGGGATGCGGCCACTTGAAATTCAATTCGCCGATGCCAAAAGGGGCTAGGAAGAGGGGGGGGGGTTATTGTAACACTATAACAGCCCCCATGCTTTGCTTACAAAGCACCAGACCTAACAATACATTAAGTGCGCAATCACACCCATCTCATCCGATACTATTTGCCCTTTACGCGAATAAGTGTCTTGTGTCTGAATTAACAAAGGGCTATTCCCATCCCTTATGTATATAATTCCTGCCCCCCCCCAAAAAAAAACCCTCTAAAGACGTTTAGAAAAAAAAGAAATACCCTCTACGTTCTAAAGTCACTTTTCTTTGTCAACCACACGATTATATGGTTCATTAAGATTTTTTTTTCTCCCAGAAAAAAAAATATTTGTTTTAACTTTAAATTAATTAATTATTTTATTAAATATTTCGCACTAAATAAAAATTTGGTTAAAAAAAAAAATTATGGTTAATAAATATTGGAGGAATTTTCAATATAGCTTACCGTGAGGAAAAACCTGCCTCATTTTGAGATAACTTGTCGTTAATCTGATAATACTGGCTTTATCCAATTGCGTTGTAATTGCAGTTGGAAGTGGAAGTAATTTAGCAAGTTCGGAAAATTCTTGATTCTCCTTCTCACGACGCGATCGCGCCGCATTTTTACTTTTCTCTTTCATTACAACTTCAGGTGGACCAGATCCACTATTGTCGTTGAAGAATCTTATCAAATTATTATTATTATTATTGTTATTGTTCAATAACTGTGATGAAGTTAGATCCAATGTATCCGATGTGTACTTGAGACCTGAAACAATTTAATTAAATTTTTTTTATTTACAAAAATTATTTATTTAAATATAAAAGCAAATTTTTTTCTCGAATTTTTAATATTGAAAATTTTTTTTTAAAAATAATTACGTATAATTGAAACATTAAAAATGTATGAAAATTCTGCGATTTTCAAATGGGATTTAATATCGAAAGTTTCTCATCGTTATTATTATAACCGCCCATAGAAGCAAAAGGGAGCAAACCATCATTAAAACGACAAGAGAGCAACCTAACGATGTTTCCACCCATTCGCGAGACTTCTCACAGATGGAAATTTGCCTTGAATTATTCATTTTTTTCATCTCCATACCTTTCCATTTTTTGAGTCTATATATGTATATATATATTGGGAAGAAAGTGAGCATGCTCTGATTATTTTTCTTCCCCCTTTGAGATCAATTTTAATTTGTTTTTTTGAACGTCAACTTTTAATTAAAAAAAGATCAACGCAATTTTATTATATATTTTACATTCCGATTTGTCTCAGGGACAAATAAATATTTATATTTGACTCAAATAAATTTTTGTTGCAAATAGATTTTATTTGAATTTAAATAAAAATTTTATTTATGACAAATAAAATTGTTATTTACGCCAAAAGTTATTAGGCTCTGAGACAAATATAAATTTATTTAACTTAAATATTTTATATTTGTTTCAAATAAAACATTTCTCTGTATGCGAAAGAAAAATCTCCTTTCCTCAGTACTATAATTAATTAAAAAATATCTATAAATTAAAAATATACATTTTTTTAAAGAACATTTTTCTTATAATAGATTTGTGTAGGTAAAAATAATAATTTTACAAAAATTAATTTTGAGAATAATTAGAAGAAACTTATTTTTTTTTTTACGAGAGAGGGGAAACTGGAGTTTCATATTATTATGAACTCAGTGAGGTGAAGGAACGAGAAAATTGTAAAAGACTATATGTATATAATACGGTTCAAAAAGTATATTGTAATGATACCAAGAAATTCTCGCGGTGAATATTCACCGTGACATAAACGGTGAATTGCTTGACTTTGCTAGGAATTCAATTTTTTTTTCTTTTGCAAATTGTACAATGCTGTTTTGATTTATGTTATAATTAAAAGAAAATATGTACACACTTCCTCTGACGGCTTTCATTGAAATTTATTTTCTTCCCGCATCGAGCGCTTAGTGACACTTTCAAAGTAAAAAAGTATATAATTCTTTTTCCGTTAATATAGCGTGCGGAAAATTAATTATTTTTTTGTAAATTATTTCCTATTTTTTAATATTTAAATTAAAGAAAACTATTTCTCAAGTCATTCATTTTGGAATTATTTCTAAATTGCAAAATTTTTTAATTTTTGCAAAATAATTAATTTTTTTAACAGTAATTTTGTAGAAACTTTTATTCTTTTTTTTATAATTTCTGGTACATATTTTTTAAAATTATTTTTTAATTAATCGAAAGAACGTTTTTATTAATTGAAAAATTAATTTTCACTAATAATTTTTCTTGCGAAATAAAATATATTCCTTAGGGTTTAAATAAAAAAATTATTATTTAAATAAAAATGTTTTTTTATTTAAACAAAAAAAAAATTATTATTTTTAATTATGATTTTGCCGGAAAAAAAATCAAAAACATACCTTTAAATTGTGCTTGCTTACGTTTCCAGCAAGAAATATATGGATCACTTTGTAAAAGTATACCAGCGGTTCGCGAATCATTATCCATCATAGGTCCCATTTTTGATGTCTTAAATTTAGATGAAAATTATTATCACACACAACATATGAGCCACTTTCAAAATCACGGGTGATTTAGAAAAAAACAAAAAATAAATAAAAAAAACCAATTTTGCAATATCCAACGAGAAGACTTGAAAAAATACGAACGAGGAGAGAAAGAGATTTTAAAATATATATAACACAGAGGGATGCAGTCGCAACTCGTGGATTTAGTAGACTGCCTGAGAAGTGAAAACGAGTCCTTTTAACGTCTGATGTTGAAGCCAGCCCCATATTGTATCGTTCCAAGTGGAAGGTAACACCCTTCTTTTTAAGCTCCACCCTTAGCAGGGTCAGTTCTGTAAGGTTTTGAAGGGTCTCCCTTTTTGGTGTACATACACTTGCATCAATCTGTCCGTTTTACACAGACATACATACAACAATGAATTTCAATACTCCCAACAGTAGAACCAGCCCAATGGCATTGAAAATTAAAAAAAAAAAAGAAAAGAAAAAAAGACTTTTTACGTTTAAAGTGACTCAAATGTTATGTTAAGTGCGAGTGGTGGGAGAAAAGTACCAGAGCTTTTATGGCAGAATTCCAATACCTATAATGTTGATGGCTTTTCAAGCTCAAAGGGTATAAAAGAAAGATGGCAGGCATCTTACAAAATGTATAAGAAAATACAAATTTTAACCTCGAGGGTGGTCGAAAAGAGCCTGGGAATTTCTCAATTTTCACATAGATTTTTGTCTCACGCTATGACTCAGGTGTCGCAATTTAAATACGTCACGCTTCATTATTTCAATTATGTTTTTGTTCAAATTATCATTTAACAAAGAATGCGTACATATATATGTACCTTGTTATTTAAATAAAATTAATTTTTTTCTTTTGAAAAAGGTGATATTTAATTCTTATTTGGCTTAATATTTGATTTTTATTTTGACTCATATTTATTTGATTCAATTTTTGTTTTGATTAATTATTATTTATAATATTTATTTTGATCTAATTTTTATTTGGCCTAATCTGTATTTAAACTAATTCTTGTTTGGCCTAATTTTTATTTGGTAAAATAAGAATTTCAACAAATAAATATTATGTCAAACAAGAATTAGGTTTAATAAATATTAGCCAAATAAAAATTAGATCAAATATAAATGAGCCAAACAAAAATTAGGATAAATGTAAATTAGGCCAAATGAGAATTAAATCAAAACAAATTTTATGCCAAATAAAAATTAGATAAAATAAATGTGCCAAATAAAAATTAGGATAAATGTAAATTAGGCCAAATAAGAATTCGATCAAAATAAATATTATGCCAAACAAAAATTATAGATAAAATAAATATTGAGCCAAACAAGAATGAGATGAAATAAATATTAAGCTAAACTAGAATTAGATATAATAAATACTTGATTTAATTCTTATTTTACCTAATATTTATTTGGCCTTATCTGTATTAAACCTAATTCTTACCTGGACCTAATATTTATTTTGATCTTATTTTTATTTTCCCTAATCTCTATTAAGCACTATTTTTGTTTCGTCAAATATTTAATCTAATTTTTGTTTTTTCCTAATCGCTATTTAACTTTATTTCTTATTAGATATAATTTTTATTAATTAATTATAAATATTAATTTTTATTAAACCTTGATTTAATATGTAAACATGGAAATTTCTTTGAAACTTATACTACTAAAGCGTATGGTCAAAATGTCAAAGAAATTGATGACAGGTTTAAAGATATATGACATTTATGGTTATGGGGGGTTGTGAAATATTTTGTAGATCCTTGTACTTGAAAATCATATGGTTACTTACACCTTGCATACTACAACTGTCGTGCAAAGTGCAACGGAACATGTGTTGTAAATTTTTGACCAAAAAGGACCTCCCTAAATTTCTATGCGAGAGAGGCAAAGGAAATTTGATCTTTTGATCCAATACAAATGCGGCATACTTGACTTTTCAAAATGACAAATTATTGTGTGGGCTCTCAAGATATTAATTCCAATTGTTGTCAAAAATTATAAGCAGCATTTTGTTTTGAAGAGAAAAAGGAATTTTTTTTTTTCGTTGACAATTTTATTATCTATAAAAATTAGGTGCAATAAAAATGCATTGCTAACTGCTAAATAGAAAATTTGCTAAATGAAAATTTGGTTAAATTAAAATCCTATAATATAATAATATTCGGCGAAATGAAAAATTCTGCTAAATGTTGATTCTGTGAAATACAAACTTGGATACATTAAAGTTCGGTTAAATAGAAATTCTGCTAAATGAGAATTCGGCAAAATAAAAATTTGATTAAATTAAAAAATTCCTATATTAAAATTTTTTCTTTAAATAAATATATATATATATAAATTATATTTGAAATTGAGAACTTTTGATAAATCTTCTAATTATGAGTAAGAAATAGTGTTTCGAAAGTTTTGAGAGATCACTTTATAAATATTGTAAGAAGAATAGTCAAATTTGAAATTCAATAATGAAGAAAAGTTTGTCTCTTTGAAGGTGTGAAAGAAGAAGAAGAAGAAAAATATACTCTCTGTTATAATATATACCATTGCTCTTCATATATATATTATACATTCGTTATTGCTCTATTCTCTGATGGAAGTGAGATTTTCGTATATTTGTTCGGCGATTTCTTAAATCTTTAGACAATTTTCGTCTCTCCTCACACAGCAGGTAGATAGATTTAATACGAAACATATGTCTGGGATTTTTGGGTTTTAGCCACCTTTCCAAAAGTTTTTCGAGGTGCGATGTAGTAAATCCACGTGTTTCTAGCGCCTTCGTCTTTATATACAACACGAGAGTTCAGCTCCTCTCATCATCAACAAAACTATGTATATTTAAAAACGGGGAAAATTTTCAAGGTGTATATAAGGTCCAGGGAGAGAGAGAGAGAGAGGAAAAAAAAATAAACAAATCCGAAAGATGACAAAAGTTTCTTCATGGAAAAATAGATGTTAATTTTTTTTTTGTTTTCTTATTAAAATTTCTGGAGTTTTAATTTTTTTTTTCTGTAAATTTTATTAAAAGAAAAAAAAGAATGACGATTTAAAGGCGAGATTTTTTTTTTTTTACAAGGACCGCATTGTAAATTCTTGATAATAAAAATCCTTTTACACCTGTTTTCTTATTTTGGAGAAATTTTTTTTCAAAAATTCAAGTGTATATATCGTAAAAAGATTTTTCAGGGTTAATACTGATGACAACCAGATGTTGGGATTTTCCCACAAG